TAGCAATCGAGGTGCATTCTAAATATTCTGACTGTATTCTAACAACATTATAAATATTCCCACTGTGTTCCAACTGCATTCGAGCTGCATTCGAGAGCAAATACACCCGGAATGTACAACGGTCATTCGAGGCGCATTCTAAGTATTCGAATGGCATCCTTACAAAGCTGTAAGTGCGGTATTTGAGTAGCAATCGAACCACACGAAATTCTAAATATTCTAACTGCATTCTAACAGCATTCTTACACAGCTGTACGAATTTTGGTAAATTTGAAATTCCCTCCTGAATGTGGCGTGAATTTTGAGAATTCTGCATTCCGACTGATTTCGCTTGATTCCTGCTATTCCGACTAAGTGTGACGGAGCCTTTACTTAAAAAACAGTTTAACAAGTAACAAATTTCATTAAAGTTGGAAATTATCTACACCAAAAGTTTCATCATTGAATATATATTGAGATTTTAATAACATCTACTGTGAGCATGCCTGTTGTAATGTCGGTTGTTAAGTCAAAGTTTCATGGTATGTTCTTTAATGACACAGGATTAAATTGATTTGCATATGTTAAATAAAGAAACTAATCTGTTAAAACATGTGTAGCATTATTGGGAATTAAACCCATTAAAACTAAGTTAATTGCCCTATAATTACACGAGTAAATTACAACTAAACGTAATAAAAAGGCGTAAATTTATGACAAATGAAAAATTTCTGTAATCATGAGTGATGTTTGACAATTCTGTAATGTACCACGGCTTGGGGATTACATTTGAATTCGGCATTTTCCTATATATGTCTGAAACTAGTTAACTCATAAATTCAATGCCGATTTATAAGCTGGACAAAACATCCATTTTCAGTGAGACAGACATCAAATTATAACGCCTGGGGTTAAATTCATGTTTTACCCTTTTTATATAAATCTAGAGCACGAGAGTCTGGAGTCTAGATCATGTAAGTAAAAATAGATTTGTAACTGTATTTTATGAAGAAGGGTTGATTAAGATAGTGTTGATACTGAAGGAATAATAAGTCGTAACTAATGGCGTCTGTATGTAGAACCGCCAGCAAATATGTCTACACTTTGATCTCAGGGACGGGACTGGAAATGAAATTAAATATGATTTAACGTCTTACTTTTCTGCACCAACCCCCGCCTAATGAAATTTGCCCGGCAGTGGCTGCACAGCCTGCTCTTAGCTCGAATCTCAACTGCCAAGGTTTTTTTTTGTTACGTGCACGCAAACGTGTACACGGAACTTCGGATGAACACCTAGTGTCAAGGTTCGTTTTACGTGCACACAAATGTGTACACGAACTTCGGTTTTCGTACTATTCGAACAACTGGGGTATGTTCCTTGCACTATAAATTCTCAGAATGCCTCGTTCGGCCTTTTTGTCCAAACCGGGCAAAAACGTATTAAAATTTTTGCCATAATTTTGCCAAGTTGTAACGTGGTAAAAACAAAATGCCGCGTTTGTCTGGAGTTCCAAAACGTTGTTTTTTTTTTTTAATTGCCATGTTTTGGAACGATGTATTTTGTCCAGAACAAGGCTGATCACAAGGTTGGATACACGATTTTTCAAAAGGGTTGGGGGTGGGGTTCAGTCAAACCAAATATGCTGTTCCTGTTTTTATATAATAAACGACGGGTTTAAGATGAAAACGTATCATGTATAGTGTGTTAGTTGCTCGGTCCAAAGGCTTTTAACACAAAATTAAGCAGTTTTATTCTCCAAAATATAGTCCAGATCGACCCTTTATATAAGAATCCAGACGTAGGCAGGTCACCCGAAGGATGTAAATGTAATTCTCATTTTTAATATATAGTTCGCATCGCCCCGCTTTGCATGTCATTATATAAACATAATAAATTGCGTCTATTTCATTTTTTGATGGATTTTAATTCAATTGCTTTTGCAATTTTTATACATACAACTAAGTGCCAATTACATAAAATTTCATGATATCTATAGAATATAATATCGTTTATTATATAAAAAAAGGAACAGCATATTTGTAATTAATAATATTCAAAGGCCTAAAAACAATTATTGAGTTCGCTCCGCTTTGAACTTGACTGTTTTTCATTTATCACATCTCTTTGTTGGAAATATTGTGTGAACTTATGAAATTGCAACAAAGAACATGGCTGTTTTTCATTTCTCACATCTCTTTGTTGGAAATAATGTGTGAACATATGAAACTGCAACAAAGAATGTAACAAACTCTTTTATGCAACGAATGTCATTTCTAGTCGACTTTGCCTTGTGATTTTTTTTCTCTACAGAATCGCTTGAAAGTGTCACCAAATAATATATTATGCTCTCCTCGATACGCTCGACGAAACTTTGGTTTGGCTGAACCCCACCCCCAACCCTTTTGAAAAAATCATGTATCCAACCTTGTGAACAGCCTCGTTCTGGTCAAAATTCCTCGTTCCAAAAATATGGTAATTTAAAAAAAAAATACGTTTTGGAATGGTCAAAATTCCTTGTTCCAAAAACATGGTAATTTAAAAAAAAATACGTTTTGGAACTCCAGACAAACGTGGCATTTTGTTTTTACCACGTTACAACGTGGCAAAATTGTGGCAAAAATTTTATTAGCACGTTTTGCCACGTTTGGACAAAAATGCCGAACGAGGCATTCTGAGGTTTATAGTGTTGTCAGGCCCTTCTTCATGCACGACATGGGGAAACAACGCTGGAACTCAGACACTGAATGCAAAACGATTATGTAACTTTAAAAGAGGCGTCACGGGGGTATGTTTTCAATAAACTGGTTTAATGGCGATGAAACACCATCGCAAAAATATCTTATTCTCGTATTTAAAGCTCTGTCATACTAATTCGGAGGAATTGAAACCTTTCAGTTTGCATGTGGGATTGGCCATAGGTCAGCCAATTCTTAAACCTAACCTACAATCTCGCCAACAATCATATGCCCTAACCTTATTTACATCTCAGTGACCTTGACAAATAGATTTAGCCATATATATCGGCTCCACAGTCGGTTTGCTTATTCATGATTACAGACTGATTCAAAACTGTTAGCTAAGGGATATGGTGTGGTATGCATCTTAATTTCCATCTAAGATTAGCAAATCCAGTGAACATTTCCGAACGGCTCCGTAATCTGATTTGAAAATTTCAGAAACAGGAGCGGATTGGGGCCGGGAACCGGCCCGGGCTCCCATGTCGAACCGGTCCCTTTTACTGACCGCGGAAAATTGTGAAAATTGACCCCAAAATATGCGATTTGGTGGCATATCTGATTATAATCTCTGTCAAATAATATATCTCATAATTCGATTAATTTAGGCCAAAACCCCGACCTGCAAGTAATTTACAACCATCAACCTGTGAAATTATCATATCGTCATATTATTAATTAACGTATTATCATTGTATCGTCAAGAGTCAAGAGAATTTAACTGGTTAATAAATGGGACTAGTTGAGAAAATTTTGACCATTTGATAAACCAGTAAGTAATATTGAATAAGTAGGAATATTTTCATTGAAAAATGTCCCATTTTTGTTGCCGGGAGCGCTAGTTGATTCCTCCTGTGATGGAAAGCCACGAGACACATTGGTACAGAGTGAATAAAGTGAAATTCATGAAAGCTGCTTTTTGAATTTTGGATTTGTTGTTCCAGGTAAATTATTTTACCTTGACTCAAAACTTGACATACAGGGTGCAGGTGACTTAATAATTAGTAAATTTGCGGGCGACAGTGTCGGGTGAATCCGATGAAATTTTCGGGTGAAATTCGGAATCCCCATTGCAGGATTCCGAATTCAGGCCCACACCCGGCCCAGAAAGTCTATTATACCAGCCCATTCCAGACTCCAGTGATGGCGTGGCGGCCCGTTAAAGGCACCGGCCACATACAACATGACCATCATCGCTCCATAGCCGGTCCAATACCTCCCCCAATATAATGTTCACAGAAAAAGGTTTTTTAGACGAATTGGATAAAATTATTTTTGTCATTATTTGTCCGACCGGCCATGGCCCAATCCGCCCCTGAGTATAATAATATAAACTGCCGCTACAGATTGCATGGTATGACATGATGAAATGTCTGCCTGGTGCCACTTCTTCTATATTTGAATTGGCTTGCCATTAAACACCATTTCATGCATTCCAGCGCATCTTTGGAAAGTTAAAGCCCAAACAACCAGCGTCTACTTTTTACCAGTTAATTAATACACTTGCTGCAGGACAATTTCCGGTTTATTTAATTGAAGAAAATAGTTCAAATGTGCACATATAATCAAATAGCTTAATTGTTATCAAATCCAATTATGCACGAGCCATGGTTCATTAATGCAATACAAACTATACCATGTCCGGACTTGGAAGGCTAGCTTATGCCGTCTTCATTAGCCCAGTTCGGAGCAGAACAGTAGGGCGTTAAACCCCATTTCATTTCATTTCAGGCGAGCTTATGACAGATCCAGTAACAAACTATATGACACATATCTAGTTCAATCGACGTCTAATATATTCTTCACTAGTTGTATTCCGAACGGACATTTTTTTACCAATGTAACATCTGAGATCAATAATTAACATTATATAATATTGGGCCAAACGTAATCTTCAGTCCTTCTAAATTGACGATTGTATAGCAAAGATTTATAGCAATGTTTCTGACTGACTGCGCTAATGAATTCCCTCATACGTGCTATGAGGGAATTTTTGACCGGAGAGCGGTGCTAAGGCCTACTCTTATTTCGAATTCCATATTCTTTTACGTGCACGCTAATGTGTACACTGAACCTCGGTTTTTTTTTAGTCCCATCCGAATGTCGAGGAATTTTATCGGTCAACACCGGGAACGAACCAGAGACGTCCTGATTAACGAGTCTGTGTCTTACACACTGAACCAACGTGGCTCTCAAAGTTTTAAAAAGTGCGAAACTAATTACACAACAACATTTAATGGTGATAAGTAAACATGCACCTATACACAAATCAAAGACCAACCTACCTGAGTGGCACCTGGTGTCTTTGGCTTGGACAAGTAAGGTCATCAAGATGGCTGCAAATAACATAGAAAACTCTTCAGTTCAACCACTTCAAAGTTTCTGTAATCTTTTTAAAACACAAACTATCCTTTGCAAATTTCAAACAAGATATGTTTAAAAATTGCAATTCTAGATTTCTGCATTACAGGATCACATCCACCTTATTTATATAAAACAAATCAAATACGAAACGATGGCGTGTGAAAATCCTGCCTGTTTTTGTTGTGTTTTTTTTTTAAATTTCTAATAGAGATGAATAATTCCAATCACGTTTTTAGTTCCTAATATAAGTGACTGTTACTCAATATTCTTTATGTTTCGTGCAAATTCTTCTCAAGTTACGTGCATTTTACAATAAACATCGCAGAGAATTATCGACACAAACTCATTCCAATTGATTTCTTTATTAATCGTCCTCGGAGGAATACAAAAGCCCGCAGCAAGAAAAACGTCGCCTGTGTTGCTAATATAATGTACATTGAATTCAGCTCTTCTGGAGAAAACCCCGAGAACAAATGTAATAATTTATAAGGTTTCTGGTTTTATCTGACCTTTTTAAAAAACGAATTCTTGTCAATATAATGCGTATCGTGTCTCGGTTTCTGTCAGGGGTTGGGTAACCAATCCATTAAACTAATATCAGTCCTATATTAATGTTTTTGAACACTCGACATTTACAAGCACAAGATCTGAAATGATTTAATCTGGTCAAAAAATCCTTATTTCAATAACCGGAGTTTGATAATGTCTGACTTGAACGCTATAGAGGTGAATCGTTTGAGTTGTTGCCAATATTGATTTCAAACTCTTTCACATAAAATGGTTGATTTGAATCAGTCTACACCAGATCACTTGGCAACTCTGACGAAGTTCGACTTGAATAGGGTTGTTAGTTCAAATCATTAACGGTATGAAGCTCGTGTTAGGATCACAGAACCTTTTGCTCATTATCTTCGTTAGTGGAACACTATTGACAATATTCAAATCACAGAAAGCTTTTCGTTAAATGCTATTTTTGATTAAAGTCTATAATAACAGTCAGGTTGAAGAATTTATCCGAATATTTCCTCTATTTTTTTGCTCTTTCTGAATATTGTTTCGTTCTTGGCTTACAGTTGGCTTAATTTCACAGCCTGATTTCCGTTTACTGTCAATATCTTTAATGGGCTGTTATCCTACTCGTGACCTAAATAAGGTATTATAATATCATATTCCTATTGACAGAACATGCTATTATTTGCTACCAAATCCAGACGCATTGCTCAATAACGGCAATGAAACAATACTTCCAGATTTACCGCAAAACAAGTCTAATAAAGATCGAACACGGGTCGACAGAACTCCGATACACTTCAAGATAACTAACTAGCTTGCTGTTGAACTTGATTTACAGATTACGTGATGATGATAAACGCGGATATTATAACAGTGTAACGTCATAAGCAAGTGAAACGCTGGTCTATCTGTCTATGCATGGTGCTCGGTGAGTTCATCCGCTAGAAGCCATGCTTCAAAACATATCTCAGTCGCGCTTCCCTGTCTACTTGCTTATCGATTGATTTTCATAATCAACGGAAGCCACTCTCGTTGCTGCGGTTTCAAGAAAGTATAATGTGTTGTTATGTAAAGACCCTAAACAGTTTCTGAGAAATGAGGTGAACCCCTGTTGGCATACAAAACAATGTGTCGCAAGCGTACATTAAAAATATTAGTTTGATAATTTATTGTGTAATATGTGATATACTCATTTCTAAGACCTTGCTGGATTCTGAAAAATCATGGTTATTTCTTGAGGCTAAACGTAACGCACACTATGTATAAAACTTTTATACGCAGTTCGTACCAAACAATATGTCGAAATCATATATTAAAACTTATCTTGGTTATTTCGTGTGCATAATATTTATACCATGGTTAAGATCCAGAGACTTGTTGAAACATCTAAAGTACCCCTTCAGGCGAAATGGAACAGAGTTTCTGGGAAACCGAGGCCACCCCTGTTGGCCAAATATGAGCTCTTTCTACCTATTTCAAACAATAAGTTTCTCGAAATTAGATTAAAGCGGAGTTTGGAGTTGTTCGTTTCTTGTGTAATATATAGAATTTATTGTTCACTTCTACAATAAAGGTTGTGTTTTTAAAGGCATTATTTGGATTTCAATTTCTTCGAGTTAAAATCCAACTACAGAGTAATATTATGAGGGCATGGGCCGAAGCATTCCTATCTTTATTATTATAGGAGCCTCGTTATTTTGATGCAATGCAGTCTCGTCAGAACGGTTAATCTTTTCATAAGGCCGTATAAATCTAATGTATTGTATGTATTTTTAATAAAGCTAGGAAATATCACTAATTTTTAATCATCCAAGGTCAGTGCTCATGTGGAGACTTAACCTCTCCCCCAAATTCTTAAACCTAACCTAAAAATCTCGCCAACAATCACGTGCCCTAACCTTATTTACATCTCAGCGACCTTGCCGAAATATTGCGCTGAAAATTTTAAAATTTGCACACAAATCGCGTGCCAGAATGAATGCTTTCGAGCGCCATTTGTAATGAAGCGACTCGATGAACGGGGCTAAACATATCCCACGGGAAATAACTACCCTTGTACATTCATATCAAATTATTAAATACGTGGCGACCCATTTGTGTCCATTTCTGGGTGCCACAGAATAGCGATTTAGCTCCTTTCAAGGCCAAAATAGATCTCATATCAGATTTAAAGCAGCGAAACCTCAAAAAAGGTGTAGAATTAGGTTGATCTGATTAATTCAATTAATGATTTCTCAACAACGCCTTAATCTGTGTGCCTCAATTTTTAAATATTGATAGCACCCTATTTTAAAGATACATTATGGGAGAATATCCATTTCATGATTAAATCCTGAATGAAAGTTGAACAGCAAATCGTATCCTAATCCAGTAAATATCGCAGACTAGCGATGACACCGATAGTTGATTATGGTTTGGATAAGTTAATTAATGTCTAATTAATAATTTAGATAACATTTCAGGCCTAAAGAAAGACCTGTATGTTTAACATTTTCTTTCTTACCTTATCAGTTTTAGATTTATTTATATATACGGCATGTATAGTTATCAAATCTGTTAAACTAATAGTGATGTATTTAATGTCGCGTGATACCACTATTTTATGTCTTTCAAACAGATTCGTCATTGCTAAAACGACATGGTAATAAAAATAACATCTCGACCAATAATACAACTCTATTATCAGTATAAATTGTAAGAAATACTTCAGTTAAACAAGTTGATTACGTCTACAGATCATTGATTTAATATAATCAATCACATTCTTATAAACGACAAAATAAAACAACTGATAAACAATAATAAGTGTCTAGTAACTGCTAGAATTAATAACAACTGTCAAAATTGATGTATTATATTATTACATTATACAAACACACAAATAGCCCATTGTCACGGATTGGCTAGCTACCCGGTTTGGTTCCTTTCTTTTTGCATTATGGCTACGTGTAACTCCCTATGTGAAAACGTGCCATTGAAATTCGAAAGAGTTACCTCAAATACTTATGGATCATTATTCCTATTGCCCTAATGACAAAATTTTGCCCTGTTTTCCTGCTGTCCTTCTCTTGTTCCAACCAGCGATACCGATAAAAAAAAAATTGTTTGGCTTGCTTGATTTCACTATCATCTAATCACCCCACAACATAATGAACGATTTCAAAGTATTCCTTGACCCCCCCCCCCCCAAAAAAAAACAAAAAACAAACATACGTTTAGACACCAAAATTATCATTCTAGACTACATACTATGGGAGTGATAGAAGATTAATTGCAATGGCGGCCGTCTTAGACGCTATCTTGAATTTCTCAAAACGCTCAAAGGTGACCGAGGTTCACCCGGCAGATTCTGAAAGAAGACACTTAGGCTACTAAAATCAATCATAAAATAAACTTTGTATACAATTTCCAGGTTCAGCCATTATTTCTGCCGGAATATGACTATAGTTTCGTGTAAAAGGAGCACTCTGTCTCCGTAAAATGTTTATGTAGGCAAGTCGGCCATCCTTCATCATTGTAATAGGTCGATTTGGGACTTAAAGAGGCATTATCGCGTTTGAGGATCATAGCAGATAGACCATGATTAGATTATACAGTTACACGGGATTAGATTGATATACAAAATTTCAGATAAATATACCAATCCGTCATTGAAATATAGACGTTTTAAGATACATGTACATTACAGCCTTGGTTTTGAAGGAGTTCATTCGACACTTAAGTGTAGAATAGTTTGCTCAAAATGAGTCACTGAGTCACTACTTTGATTTTATGTAATTATATATGATATATAAACAAATATATTTGTATTTTGTTCAATGGGAAATTCCCCTTTAACCCCAGCTTATTAACTATTTATCGCAAAAGGAGAAATTAACCTGATGTAGGCTGATACGATTAGAAATACATGAAGGGTGACTAGAAACGCACTAAAGGATATAATTATTTTGTAAACTGCGTCCATCATATACTGAAGGATGCTATTTACAAAGGCTGTAATAGATTAAGTAATTACTGTTATCTGATCGATATACACAAGGCATTATCTTGTAAGCGATCTGTTCTGTTCCCGTCTTTGTTACATGTAAAGATAGGTTAACAAATGACTAATTATATCAAGTGTTCGTTGAAGTCGACATTTTATAGCCACTATCCCATAAAGTTAAAGAAAAAAAAGTTCAGTTTTATGTCATGCCAACTTTCCAGAAAGGTCATAAGAAAAATCCAACTGTAGTCGATATACAAAACATGAGGCTAGCACAATTTTCTCATTTACTATTTTCAATGTACCCTTTTCGGCAATCCTATCGAATTTATAGTGAAATGAAAATGAAATGAAATGGAGTTTAACGTCCTACTGTTCTGCTCCTAACCTGGGCTAATGAAGACGGGCATACGCCATACAGTGTGTTATGAGGGAAATTTTGCCCGGACAGCGGCACTACGGCCTACTCTTATATCGAATTCCACTGCCAAGGGATCTTTTACGTGCACGCCAATGTGTACACGGGACCTCAGTTTTTCGTCCCATCCGAACGACTAGCCAGCTTTCCTTGTCAGCCCCTCCGCCCTGCATCACTGACAAGGGAGAACCACGCCGGAGATCTGGATGAACTTTCTCGGCTAATGCAGGGATCGAACACCCGACCTTCAGGCTAGCGAGCTAGCGTCTTACCCACTTAGCCACGTGATCCCCCGAATTTATAGTGAAAATAAGAAGTGGATGGTTTATTTGAGGAATTACCGTTTCGTTGATGAACGTCTGGATAATTAAGATTCGTATTTATACTTGATTAACAGGGATAGAGTTCAAACCTTAATGCGTTTGATTTAGACGATTAGAAATTGAATTCCAGTCTTCAATAGTCTCGATTCTCGACAGTGTATTGCCACGGTCTATAACTTTTCTTATTGTAAGGAAATAAGTTCCAGTTTTAATTGTGTCTCCGAACATTAATGATTTGTTTAAACATGCAAATAAAGTTAAAGGTGAAAGTGCAAAGAAATAGCCGTTTTAACTCAAAATATAGATCCGTAGGCCTATGGAGATGACCGCTAAAATAATGTATAGGATTAGGAGTCATGTCTTATAATATGCCAGCGGCTAATTTTTCATTGAGTGACCTGACAAACGCGACTGTTATTCGATACAGTCTGTAAACTTTGCCAAGAGGTAATTAAAACTTTGTAATCGTCTGCAAAATTGGAAAACAACAACAAATAAATAAACCCGAATAATCAAAAAACAAAAAAAACCCCAAATAATGAAAGCGTTAGAGGGAAGTTGTCGCTGTGTACGAGTCTCAGTTACAGACAGATTTATCCAGACTTCGTCCCCAAGTCCACATGATAGCAGTATGTTGGTATTTCTTTAAATTTTTATCGTAAACACAATCTTCAGATAGTTACTTAGCACTAGAATAAAGGTCTCTAAGAGCCTTTAACACAGAATTAACAAAATGTTCATTCACGAGAATATATATGGACTTTCTCCTTTAAAACTGACACGATGCAATAGTTAATTAAAGGTTAATCAAATATTATTCAACCAGGGGCGTGGAGGCCCAATGATTTAACGTGTGCCCATTAGATCACGAAGTATGTCAATGAGTCAAGTGGCGTGGTTTAGACTCCCCGCCTGTACGTGACAAGGAGTAAGGTCGCCCGTCCAACCTCGTGGGTTTTCTCCGAATACTTCGGTTTTTCCCCCACTACTAAAGACCGCTACGCGTAAGCATATAATTAAAATGAAATTGAACCATGTGTCAGTCCCGAAATGATCAAGTTTGTGTCGAGTGGACGTTCACATAGGGTTCACTCGAGTGTTGCATAACAAACAGAATCATCTTATTTAAAGATGTATTATGCAATAACTAAATCAGTCATTCTTTTTTCTGGCTTTAAATGTTATATAAATTATTATTTAGACAGTTATGCATATGACAAGCCCACCGCGCCATATAATCAGTAAATTTTAAAACGGCTATCACTCAATTAAAGGTTTAACGTCCTACTGTTCTGCTCCTAACCTGGGCTAATGAAGACGGGCATTTTGCCCGGGCAGCGGCGCTACGGCCTACTCTTATATCGAATTCCAACTGCCAAGGGATCTTTTACGTGCACGTAAATGTGTACACGGGACCTCGGTTTTTCGTCCCATCCGAACGACTAGACAGCTGTCCTTGTCAGGCCCTCCATCCTGCATCACTGACAAGGGGAAATCACGTCAATTAAAGGACTGCCAATCGAGACTTCGTTTGTTATTATGGAAATGGTACTTATCAATCTGTTATTTCTTGTCAAAACATCAAACACTCATAACTTCGCTCGAAATAAAGCCATTTGACTGAAATTTTCAATATATTCATTTTTCATTATCTATTTTAGAACTATTATAACACGAACGACCAGCTATTTGTCTAAATCTTACATAATGCGTCTTTAAGACAAGGCAACGCCATCTAAATCTTACATAAAACGTTTTTAAAACAAGTCAATGATACCTTGATCATCATTGGGAATTGCTTTCTAAATATTGAAAATAAATTGATACGTTTCATGGTCTCGTAATTTCTAAAGACTTAGCTCAGAACACGGTGACCCGCCGCTCATTGATTTTATGTTCATTTCATAAAAATGGTTGCATAATGTCCTTTATGGGCTGTGACAGAATTTGTGATTTTTCTTTTTTATATATATAAAAAGTATAATTTGAATATTCTTGAGAATTTTATAGCCAGACTGACGTGTTAAGGGTCACGGTGATATTGTTCAAGTTATGAATATACGAGCAATTCGCGTGACTATAGAAAATATTTAACAATTTAACACTGTGAAAATCAATATTGTCAGTATGTGTTTTTCAGATTGCATTTCATACTTATTCATCATATATTATCTTTATCATTATTTTAATACTTGTAATACTAAACATTTACATGAGGTATCATCTTCAAAGGTGTTCCAATGTCGCTTTACATTGCAAGCATAAACATTTATAAATTACATAAATAATAAATTTATTCTACAAAATTGTACGTAAGACCCACCATTTAAATTTCGCCACAAAATGTTTATTCCAAATCTTGGCATCGAGAAATTTAGAATAGATTAATTTCCTTCATTATCGTGTCGTTTTAAATATATATATTTCTGTTATTTTCTTTAGATTATAACGTTGGGGGGGGGGGGGGGGAGAAAGTATAAAAGGGCCGTAGCGTATTTGGGAATGGCGAAAAAACGACCATGCCCCAACGATTCATTCCCTTTGAATCGTCAGTTTGTTTTTAACATTTCCAACCAACCAATGACGCTGACTGAATAAAAATAGAACACACCTCTTCCATGTCAATTTTGTAACATCCTCCACCACACCAGGCACCACTTCCCCCTGCGACAGTAAAAAAAGGCCCCACGCTTCCTTGGTTTCCCTCAAATTAATGGTCAGATCTAAATATTAAGGCCACCTGCAGATTAAGTCAAGGTCACGAGATATAAACAGGGTAAGGACTGGGGTTAGGGTTAGCGCTAGCCCTGTTTACATATCGTGACCTTGACGAGGTCTGCAGGTGGCCTTAATATTTAGAACTAACCCCACATTGTTAATTTTGAAGACACTACGGAGGTAACTCGGACAATTTTAAAAATAAAATTAGAAATGTAACTTACTTGTCGTAAAAGTTGCAGCACATATTGTAAAGACAGTCGTCATCTTCCTCTGTTCGGGATTTCTTTTGGTTAGATTTCCATTTTATAACAAATAAGTAGACATTCGCTACAGTAAGTCCATTTATGTCTATAAATTTCAGTGAATAGAAAAGACTATCGCTATAGTAGTTTACGGAAACTAATTTGCATCATATTTGCATATCAAGTGCATTCATCATAAATAAGAATTACATTTTATGCAGACTATCACCGTTCGGCATCCATAACAAAATGAACATGTTTCCAATGACATCTTCTAATGACTATAACTGCCTAAATTAAAAACTTCCCAATCAAATGAATTTTACGCTACATAAAACACCTCTTCGTTTGGCTGCTTCGCAAGTATCGATGTCACGAGAAAAGAGATTTGTAACATTTATGTAAAGGGCAATACTATTTAATATTTATTAAAACAACCAATTCGATAGCTTTCGTGATTGAATTTAAGGATCGTATCCAGTAGTTCAGATAGTTTATAGTATAAATACGACCCAAACCTATTTCCGAATCAATTCTTTGTGTAAGACGTTTTAAAGCCATGTATTAAAGAGGCATTGTCACGTACATCAAAAAAATTATATAATTAATTTTGAACATTATCTAAGACTCAGCTAATGGCATAAAATGCCAAGAACTGCCCTACTATGGAGATATCAATATCAAATATCAATAATGCTCGTCCTCAAGTGACCCAGAAGCTTCAAACCAAATTAAATTTGATAATAAATCTTTTAAAAACTATAACACGTTCACAGGGTTTTCGGAAAAGAGGGCATGACTCAGGAACGAAGGTTCCGATCTGCACCAAAACCAACCCAGTCCGAGATCTTTTGATCCCTAACATGATATTATTTATTGAGTTTCATCTAAATCGGACAAAAACTGTGGTCTCTCAGAGGGCTACAACATTGGTACATTTCTCATGCTTTGTCGCTATTTGCGTAAGGGAGGGGCCAGTTTAACGGGAAGTTACGGTCCGATTTCCACGAAAGTCGAACTCATTCGTGATTGTTGTGTAATGGACATATTTCAACGGTTTCTAAAATCGACCTGCCGAGTGTCCACAAACTTAATGTCAACGGGTGGCCGTGGGCGTATAAAAATTGTAACCTCTAGAGTGTCGTCAAGCTAATCAGAACCAGAACCAACAATCCAGAAAGTTACGCTCCGGTATGGTATATGTCAAAATCGAACCTATCCGAGATCTCTGGAATATAAACATATTTCAGTGTCAAGAAATCCGATAGAATTTGTGACCTGTATTCGGGCGATGGTATAATAAGTCCACATGGACGTGAGGGCGCATAAAAAGAAGTGTTGGGGTGTATTCATGATTCATCTGTCTTTCTTCGAGTCTAGCATAACGCCAGACTAGGTGATTTCCTGCACAGAACAGACGCGATTAACGGAGAGATTTAGGCATCGAACGCCAAACATTTTCGCGATATAGTTTGCTTGCGACCCCAACTTGCTATATATACCCTTGGAGAAAAAAACAAGAACAAAACCAGATAATTTTCATTGTTGATTGTTTTAATCTATGAGTATTGTGGTTAGTGATACCTAAATGATATCATAAATATATGGTAAAATAGATATATATAATGTATATAAAAAAATATATTGTAAATAATGAATGATATTAAAAAAGAAATAAATGTCCATAAGAATGTCTTGTAAAAAAGACAAAATATCACATGTAGAATGTACCAACTGCTAGTTCTGATAATAATATATATATAAAAAATTATATTAAAAATAATATTAACCTAAGAAGACGCCATTTTTATGCTTTATTTATTATCAAATGCTTTTATATATCTTGTTTTAAAACGTATATATATTCTAACAGAAAAATGTTGTATAATATGATAACTTATAATTCAAGGATGTTTATAATTTTCTAGTTCTTGTCAATTACAGCTGGACAATAATTTCAATAAATAAATATATCGGAATTTGTAAATTTTATTGACAATAAAATTTTGACAAAAAAAAAAAAAAAAAAAATGCTTTATTAATGCATAAATTTTGTGTTTAACTAGGGTTTGACAATAATTGCAAATTTTATTGACAATATATTGTGGCCAGTAAAATACCGCAATAATAATAATCTCCTTTCCTAATAATATTCTCTGAAAGATTATTGTATATGGAAACATAAGTTTGACCATACAATCATTCAAAATTTACTTTATTCCAATGGCAATAATGGCAATAAAGGAGGTCAATTTACTTTATTCAAATGGCAATAATGGCAATAAAGGAGCTCAATTAACTTTATTCCAATCGCAATACTGGCAATAAAGGAGCTCAATCGCTATTTTTTGGCACATAGAAATGGACACAAGTGGATCGCGGCGCATATAATAATGTAATATGAATATATATATAAATAAACTGATTTACATTCAATCGTCTCTGTTTTTACTGTAATTTCTAATCAGTTATTTTCGGCGAATACGCGAAGAGTCTGGACTGATTACCAGTCTTTGGTGTCTGGTGTCTACACCAGTGGTATTCTCCTAAGTGGCATGTGTTTAGTCTCGTTCATCGAGTCGCTTCATACAACTGACGCTCGAAAACATTCTGGCACACGATCCGTGTGCCAATTTTAAAATTTTCATTTTGTATTAAAGATTGGATATCAGAAGCCCATCTTTTCAGGCAAGATAACAACATCAATGTAAAATGTTGATTTAAATTGGCCAATAAGTCGTGCTTGCAATGTCGAAGACTGTGAATGATACTGAGTTAGAGACTTGCCTCCTTTAAATCTTACCAACAATTAAATAAAGTTTTCAATATAGAAGTCACCTGTAGATTATTCTAATAGTGCCACTATCGACATATTTAAATGTGGGTGCATGATCCAACACCTTTGTAAAAACACGAGATTATTCGTATAAAAAGAATTTCCTATCGTTATGGCTCATGTGGTTTAGTCGATCGTTTTGATAACAAAACATTTTGATATCTATCTTATTTGCTACGTAACCAAATAGTCCAAGGAAGCAAGCTCTGATTCTTTTGGCTTAAAGCTGATCATGTTGGAGTTACCTACAACTGAATATGAGCGACAGGGCAAAATAAAGGAATTATTGTGTTTACTACAGCTGACTTGGTATATTGGTATCTTTATCGGCTAACCTGACTTAAATTGTCCATAAAAAAACTAAAAGATGGAAACTATCGGCTAACCTTACTTCATTTGTATAAATGATACAAAACTATCGGCTAACCTTACTTAATGTATATAAACCTAAAAGATATGGTTTACCTTACTTATATAGATGATACATGCCTATCGGCTAACCTTGTTTAAATTGTACTTAATAAAAGATACAAACATATCGGCTAACCGTACTTAAATTGTATATCATGATACAAAACTATCGGCTAACCTTAATTAAATTGTATAAAAGATACAAAACCATCGGCTAACCTTACTTAATGAGTATACACAAGATACAAAATTATCGGCTAACCTTACGTCATTTGTATATAAATGATACAAAACTATCGGCTAACTTACTTTAAACTGTACATAAAAGATGCCAAACTATTGACCAACTTTACTTAATTAATGTGTATATATTAAAATAAAAGAAACAAAACTATCGATTAACCTTTACTTCATTTGTTCATTAAAGATACAAAACTATCGGCTAACCTTACTTAAATTGTACATAAAGATACAAAACTATAGACAATCTTGGGTAAAGTGTATAAGCTTACATATAAAAGATACAAAACTATCTTCTAAGTTCTAACCTTACTTGAGATGTATACAAAACTATCTTAGTTATATAACCTTATGTATATAAAAGATACAAAAATATACAATACTTTCAGATAATCTAGAATAACTTCCTATTGACGGAAAAGATGTAGGTCTACATTCTACGTTAATATTGTATATCTCGTAAAATTATTTGCTCAAGTTCATGTATTTTCTTTTATATAATACTGCGATATATTTCAATTTAAATGTAACTACATGTATGTATATATAACTGATCCAATAGATCAGAGTACACCAAAACATTTTTTTTATATTAGTAATTACCATCCTCCTAATAGATCTAGCCTGTATTTAGAAAAAAACATAATAGTATAGACCATTTGGTTAATCCACTGCAAGTACGAGAATCGACACACATTTAAGTATTCAAAGTCAGAAATTACTTTTCATTCTGTACAGTAATTGATCATGATAGTTTACTACCAAAAAGAATAAATTTGGACCTAAGATAGTTTCGAAACGTAATGATGATGATGATAAAACTAAAATAATGCCATAATAAACTCAGACATTTTGGATTTTCATTTCTCCTTTTCACGGTTTGGAGACAATGTTCAATTAGATCAATATTTACAAATATTCTAACTCGAATATAATTTAGGCTGCAGATTGGATTCTATTTCTTCTAAGGTAGCTATGATCTGTGGTAATCTTGGTCGGGACAGAGCCCGGACGCTGGTGCAGGATTTCCAGAGGGGCCTTAATTGGATGACTTTAGCCTGGGACATAATTTGACCAAATAAAAAACCCAAGCTGAAGACGTCCGACTGTGGGGTTGAGTGGCAGTTTTCACGGACTTCGGGAGCCAAGAATTGGAACTTAGACATGTAGTCGGGGCTGGCAGTAAACTCCAAGCCTTTCCTGAATGTGGACATCCCGAAGTCAATGAAACGAACATCGAAACCATCGAGATCCACCAAGATGTTGTCAGCTTTAACATCATTATGGATAACGTGACAGCTGTGGATGTTAAATAGCGTCTTGCTTATATTTACGCAAATCGTTATCCATGATTTAGCTGACAGATCACCATGGTGTTTCAGGATGGCCTCGATGCTTCCCGATCCGAAAAACTCCTGCACCAGCGAAAAGTCATTCTCGTCGATAGTTGATGCCAGGATCCCATGAAATGTAGGTGTTACGTCTTTACCTTGTAACAGAGCTACAATCCGAGCTTCGTGTTCCACCAATTCCCAGCAAACGCTTTCATTGAAGAAATCCTTTACAACAATCTGCTTTGATGTTTTGAGCAAGTGTCCTAGATATACCACACCATAGCTACCTCTTCCAATTTCTTTAAACGATTCGTCCTCATTCTTGTGAAACACGATGTCCTTTGATCGGATGGAGGGTACAATAACAGAGTCCAGGTCGTCAGGTAGATCACTCGAAGCTTCATAGCCAGATGGTAAGAAAGGCGACTGTCTTGGATCATATCCGAACATGTCCATCATGACATCGTGGTTCATGCTGAAATTCCCAAAGCTGTCAATATATACCAGACTGGCGATGTCAAAGTTTTCTTTTAAGCTGCCGTTCAAAAGTTTGTCCTCTACGATGATATCTTCTTCTTGGCGGCGACTTTCTGCTTCTGTCTTTTGGACGAAATACGCTGGAGCCAGCAAAGCAGCTGAACTAGTTAGCTGAACTGTTGGTTCAACACCAAGTATAAAATCAAATCTTGTTTTACGTGTTTTGTTTCCAAAAGCTTTACTTATCATCGGCACCGGGCAGCTATATTGTATCCTATTCGGTATGTCAAAAACTCTTCCAGGAAGTGTAGCTGAATGATTTTCAAACCGCTGTAAGTTTGCCCTAATGATACTTTTGAAATCAATTACGCTAGTAAATGATGGTGCTTCGCCAGCTGCTGAACTAGTGGCCCGTTTTTCTCGACCTCCTATATCCGTATTTGAGAAGCAAACCCCACTTTCTGATGATCTCTTTGATAATTTTAAAGAGCTGTGCTGTATATTGCTGACGGATGGTGCAAGAACCGCAGAATATTTTAAAGCTGGTGAAGTTTTAGCAAAAGCTTCTTTAAGACCAGGCAATGTGGTAGTCGGACCTGGAACCTGTGAATATACATCTTTTGTTGTTTGGACTTGAAATGTTTTAACCACGGCTGCATGGGCAATAAGCGTTGGTGAAGCTTGAACATAGGCTTCCGTGTATTCTGATACAGCTTGCACAGATCTGTTGGTTAATTGCGGTGAAGCTTGAACAAAGGCTTCCATGTATTTTGACACAGCTTGAACATGAGTACTGGTTAATTTTGGTGCAGCTTGAACAAAGGCTTCGATGCATCTTGGTACAGCTTGAACAGATGTACTTACTAATTGTGGTGTGGCTTGTGCTGAAGCATCTGTTCTCGCTGGTGTAGCTGTTTGGCACCCAATAGTGGTGGTTTGATAACTTTCGGTCTGACAACTGATATCGCGATACATAACTGGATTAAGAGTTTGAGTTGCCATGGATGGTGGGGACAAATCATCAATAATGTTTTTATGTTGTCCAATATTTTCCAGCAACGTCCTGGCATTAATCTTTGATTTCTCTCCATTTTTCTTTGTAACAAGAACTTCTATCTTAATATCATGGTTATTAAGGAGTTTTGACAGCAGTATTTCGAGATCACTGATGGTATCATTGTCATTGGTTTGTACGGATGCTGTAGTAGTTTTAGGTTTATGGGTGTTCAAAGGAATTAGACAAAATCTTTGTTGGGCTTCACATCCTTTTAACCAAACAGATTTTAAGGAATCGGTCTGGCTATTGCCTTGTTTCCATGGTTCTTCTTCCGTAAAATTATACCCACCAACGATATTTCTGGAAGATAAAAAAAAAATTGCGATTGAGTTACTAGTTCTTTTATGAACTTCTGGTTCGAACTTAAAGTCTCATTATAAGCTTACATTAACTGCCATTTGTCCAATTTAAACCAACTTTATTGGTGGGACCTACATCCAGTGTTCCATTTAGACTTGTTAAATGTTAAATTTTCACATCACTGTGTAACCTGACACCTGATTGGTGACATACGGCCGCCCCCGCCCCTTTTTCTAATTACAGTATTATATCCTCTACAGGAAATTTTAATTATCGTTGTTGTTACGTCAGTTTTAGAAACTATAATTTTACCTTCGAAAATTACGACCCGCTATTTTCAGTGAAACTCTTTGAGTATTCAGTAATCGTATTTCCTGCTTACAAAGCTGCAATGAATAAAAAGAAAACAGTCCATCATTATTAGTACTTTCTTAGTATTATTAGCATTACCATAAAGTAATACCGCTACGCAGTTTAACACTTTATTTGTTTTTATTTCGTAGGCTGGTCGTTACCACCATACCAAAACTGTAATGGGATTTACAAGCGGGTAGGCTACTCGACTTGGGTCACATTTTTAATTTTAAAATGGGAATATTGTCACCTGTCAAAATCTAAGGAAAATTATTAAAGGCTACAAAATCCCGCTAGGCCTTCGGCTCTTTCAAAACATGGCGAAGAATTGGCAATTTGCGCTTTCTAAACTAGGCCTAGGCCTAAAGACAGTGCAGTGCGATAATCTCAGTTTCATCGATTAGCATTAGCCTAGCCATTAGGCTAGCCTATCGACGTATCGTGTCATTGCCACGCCCACGGTCCGTAGTGACCGTAGGCTTTGCGCTTTCTAAACTAACTAAAAACAGTGCAATTCGATAAACTTCTCCAACTCAAATAAATGTCTAAGCCATTTAAGCAAGTAGCCTACCGTAGCAAAGTAGCCTAAATTTTAGCAAATAGGCTAGGCCCTACAGTACCTGTACTGGCTGTAGCGACTCCAGGCCCAGGGTACGTGAGACTGAGAGTAGGGTAGGCTAGCCAACAGGGGGTAGGCCTAACACTGACACTAGGCAGACGAATAAATTCCCTAGCCGCCCTAAGTCTTCCTGATTAGGCCTATCAGAAACGGTGTTTTACTGCATGTTGTGTAAGAAATGATGAACTTACCTCAAGAGCAGATGAAAAAACTTTGTAAAGGAATGATGGTCGCCTTCCTTCACTTGCCAATGCCAAATCATTCTGCTGACTCCCACTCCCATTCTCCTCACCCTGGGAATCAGATTGATGATTCAGTTGAATGGTGTTGGTGATGATGTTATCTGGTTGACTCTCACTGCGATCAATCATCTTTAACTTATTGAAGTTTTCCAAGATATCAAAAAGCTTTACCAATGGCGAAAATCTCCTTGACTTCTAAAATCTCCTAGGATTTTGTAGCTAAGTCGTGACGTTGTCAAGGCTTTACGTCACAGATTCCATTATGACGTTGTTTTATTCTATTTAGTCATTATTTTTCTCTCATTCTCACAAGCAGAGTTGTCTTCCCTTGCAGTTGACAATAATGCTGGATAGTGAGACCATGGAGGTGTCTATTATATATATATACACCTCTATGAGTGAGACTTGAATGAGAGACTGTTTTTTTTCCTCCGCCTACCCCTTTTTCTGTTTCCAGATTTCCATGAATAGCAGGGATAAGGAGGCATTTTGGGTATCGCCTATCAAAATATAAGATAAAGATGCTACTTTTGGTTTGTTTTACATGTAAAAACTTCACTGCCCCTCCGAAGCTAGCATTAGTAGCAAGCTGGTTACGGGCCTGTTGGGATCTAGAAAATGGCGTTTAATGTGGGGAATTTAGCCAACGTACCGTAGTAATATATGGTCAATCTACTATTAGAATTTTAAGATTTTTCCCCGCTGTCAAAAAGAATTTCAAGACCCACAAAACTTTATCGCAGATAAAAGTCCATGTACGTATGAAATTTAAGCGCCAAAATATAGAGGAATGGTGTATTTACCTTGTCTGAAAATTTCAGCTCAAAATATTAAGTCCTTTGGTCGTAAACGCCAAAACCGCTTTTCCGGACACGTACTAGTAAGTACTAAGTAGGCCTAACCCTTTTATGATTTCGGGTCAGTTTTTCGTTGGGTGACCTGATAATCTATTACCGTTCCTTTAGAGATCGAAACAGCGCGTGATGCAAGTGCTGTAGCCTACGAATACGATAACGAACGGTAAATTTCACCTACATTTTATAATAAAAGTCTGGTTTTATCCAGACACCGTAGGCCTTGCCTGTAATACAGATTGGGACACCGGTCTCCATTTCCAGATGAAGACTGGCGGGTTTAAGTTGTTTGAAACGTATATTGAGTTAGTTGCTTGGCCCTAAGGTAGAGATTTATAAGGGCTTTTCACACAAAATTAACCAGTTTTATTGTCCAAAATATAAATGAGATTGGCCTATAAATTATTAAATGACGATCGTGTTTCAGTCCATTAAAATCTCGACCATCCGATAGTCTAAAGAGTTGGTGAAAGGCTTGCTATGTGAATAAATGTCTAAATAATAGCTTAAATAATATGACAATAGTATAGATCATAAAATTTTTGAAGCCAAAATAATGCATATTTAAGGGATTAAAAATTAGAAATGAAATGGGGTTTAATGTTCTGCTGTTGTGCTCTGAGCTGAGCTAAGGAAGACCACATACACCATACAGTGTGCTATGACGAAATGTTGCCCAGACAGCGTCGCTACAGCCTACTCTGTTAATAGAGAGAAATGAAGTTTAATAGTAAGTGCAGGACACAGGCTCTTGAAGGGATTACAATAAAACGTCTTACTACTCTTTGACTATATATTACATTACTGCTGTAATATATAGTCAAAGAGTAGTAAGAAGTTTTATTTTAATCCCTTCAAGTGCCTGTGGTGCAGAAGGCCCCCACTACAAGCAAAGGAAACCAATAATGGCAATAATACAACCTGCAGACAAGACACAAACTACACACATTGCAAGAAATAAACAACAAATATAGAGATCTAAGCAAGAGAATAGATCTGGGGGCAATAAGGGCGATAATCCTGATAGAATTTCGGAAACGCTAAAAACTTTATAAATAGAGTGTAGTGAGAAAACAGGAGCAATAGGGACTAACATAAGGTATCATTTTATTTCAATAATTCACTTGCACGTGGGGGGGCTCTGACAGGGACAGGAAACCGGGGGTTAGACAGGTGACCCTACAAGCGCGCAATATCCCCACCACTTTAAAGAGAACAAACAATGAATACTTTATTAACATTACTAGCTGGTAATCACAAATAAACCTTTATTAAATGTCAACAGTTGATGACTTATATTAGTTAATATATACAAATTAAAATATATATATATATATCTCTGAATTAGCTCCAACAAGAATACAAAAAAGATATTGCAAAAAACATTGTACCCTCTTCCTGAATGTTGGAAATGGAGTTTTAAAAAGTGGAATAGAAGATTCAGTAAAATGTATGTATGACAAACAATGCAATGTTCTCATACATATGGCAGTAATGGCAATAACAAAAATAACAATATAACAATTAGTGAATATATATTTCTTTCCACGCTTCACAGTCCAACGGTTAGGCAGACCAGAAATAAAATGTTGCAAATGTGAGCCGATTAAAAAGATCAAAAGCTTCAAAAGCTGGCAAAGCAAATCCATGTTGACCATGCCTGCAACAGATTCAGAAATTGCTTGAATTAATACACCTATCTAATGTGAACGTTATTTTGGTCCCAACATATTTTGAGGAATCACCCATTCATTAAACTGTTCTTCTGTTACTAAACCAAGGTTTAAAGCTGCCTGTTTTAAGGTCAACCCCTCAGCATGTCCCAATTTGGCAATTTTACAAGCATTATCATAACCTATATGTGGATTCAGAGCTGTCACTAACATCAGAGATTCATTTAAAATTTGGTTAATTTTTTCACGATTGGCTTTAATACCAATTACGCAGTTTCTGCTGAATGAATTGCACGCATCTGCTAAAAGGCGGGTTGACTGGAGAACATTTCTGACCATCATTGGTTTAAAGACGTTTAATTCAAAATGTCCATTACTTCCACCAATAGAAACAGCCGTCTGATTGCCCATCACTTGTGCTGCCACCATTGTTAAGGCTTCGCATTGGGTCGGATTCACTTTACCTGTAACACAGAAATCATTTTTTTTTATATGGCATTAATTAAAAGTTTTATATGGATTATGGAAAGGGCTTTTCTAAGTTTTTGAAACTTGTGCTCAATCCTTTTGATATTTGTCAATAAAATATGTTTAAACTAATTAAAAGTTGATCTGGCCTGGCTGGAACTAAAAGAAAGGAACTATCAAAGAGATATGTTTTAATTACCTGGCATGATGCTGCTTCCAGGTTCATTTTCAGGAAGACTCAATTCACCAAGTCCACATCTCGGCCCAGAGCCTAAAAATCTAATGTCATTACCAATCTTCATTAAACTAACAGCAACAACATTCAAGGAACCATGAACTTCAACTAATGCATCATGTGCTGCCAGAGCTTCAAATTTATTACTGGCTGTTACAAATGGTAAACCTGAAATAACATTTAAAAAAATAGATTTTTTTACAATTTTGCTGTTCCAAAATGCTACAGATACTGAAATTTTGGTTAAATAAAAATAATTTTGTTAGTAGTATTACAGTAAATGTCAAACTGTGATTTGTTATTGATTTAGAGAAGATAATAGTACAAGTAACTAGTAAGCCTCAGCATGAAAATCCAGTAAAAATGAAAAGATTTCAAATAATTTACAACACAGCGGTGGCATGTAGTTTCAAAAATAGTATGAATGCACAATTGACAACCTACAAAAAGGCCAAAGAGAGTGAAAAAAAAAAATGAATGACATACCTAGATTAAAATATTTATGTTATGATTTACAACACAATTTAAATATTTATGTCATGATTTACAGTATAATTTAGTCTTTTTGTATACAAAGTAAAGGTATTTTATTATCTAGCATACAAAGAAGAACCCTACCTGTAAATTCTGCTATCCCTTTAGCAACTTTCTCAGCAAAACCAACTCGAGAATTTAAACCAGTTCCTACAGCTGTTCCTCCTGTAAATATATATATATATAGATATATATACCCATGTAGATATAAAAACCTAAAGCATATAATGAGAAACCAAATAAAACATCTTAGAGTTATTTATGATTTTATTAGAAGAAAAATATACTGAGCGCCATGGAAAACGCATCACTAAACGCATCACAAAATGATCCTGTAAACATATCTTATTTATTTTGCTTCTTATTGTGAACAATATTCAAATGGGAACACATCAATAACAACACATTTGTACACTTATGGATGTTTAATCTGTAATCAAGGGTACAAAGTCAGAGGGGTCAAAACCAAAAGTACGACACAGATGTCAGTAGCGCGTGTGTCCTCCACAGGCCATCATCACGGTAGGCTACAGCATTAACGCGACCCCTGCAAATGTGTAGGGCGGTCCGGTGATGAAATGTGAAGCCTCCCCACACCATTACACTTCCCCCACCCCATGGATTCGTTTTGAAGACGCAGCAGTCTGCAAGACGTTCCCCAAGACGTCTCCACACACGTTGACGGCCATCAGCGTGATAAAGATGAAAGCGACTCTCATCACTGAAGAGCACACTTTGCCAGTCTACTCTTCTCCATGTCTGGTGTCCTTGAGCCCATATCAAACGCCGCTGATGGTGATGATCCCTGAGGATAGCTCCAACATAAGGCCGTCGTGCACGAAGTCCTACTTCTCTTAGACGACGTCTTACGGTGTTGGCACTTACTGGTCCTTGTCTTCCGACAACTGCTGCACCTGTTCGAGTCACTGGGAGGAATCTGTCACGCAGATGAGTGACCCGGATGTAGCGGTCTTGAGCCTGGGTTGTAACGCGTTGTGGACCAGGACGTTGACGATCACGCGTTGATCCAGTAACTCGAACACGTTCCACCAACCTTACAATAGTGGACGGATGACAATTGAAGTGTCTGGCAATAGCACGTGTAAACATGCCAGCCCGAGACATTCCCATGGCTTCATTCCGTTGATTTTCAGTAAGTCTCAGCATCTCTAGCTCCATTCCTTCACACGTCCAACAACAAATTACGACAGATTGACCTTTCACAGTTCATGTACAGCACATTAAGTTGAAAACATGCTTTTAAAGGGCTCACACACAATGCTGCAAGTGAATATTGGGTTTTTCATGTGCATCTCGTGCAATTTTTTTTTGTGCACACAGGCCGATATTTTTTGAGTTTGGGAGCATTGTGTGAAACAATAGTTCATAGTATTGCATAATATTATACATACAAAACCACCTAGTAATAAAATATTTGGGAAAAAAAAGTGATGTGTTTTCCATGGCGCTCAGTATATAAATATCCATAGGCACTTCAGATAGAGATTCTGATACTCAAATTTCCTGATTAAATTTGATGAAATAAAGCAGAATCTGCTTTTAAAATCTCTGATTACTGCCAGATAATTTGTTATTTTGCCTGAAGTATTGTATCTTTGGAAACATGGCTTCCCTGCCACTAATATGCCTATTTAATTGACAACTATTACTGATTAAAATTATCTATCTGTCATCAGTATCAGGTGTTTCTTATCACATGATTTTCTTTTATGAAGCTTTATTAAATACATTTCATGAAATTTAAAAGAAATCAATATACCAGCTGCTAGTTCATATAAATGGGGAAGAGTAGAATTTATTCTTGATATTCCATATTTAATCTGTTGAACATAGGCACTAAACTCTTGACCTAAAGTTAAAGGCACTGCATCCTGAAATCACACAAAAAGATATCCCAAATTTCTCTTCATAAATGTACATATTATTACCTATATTGGTCTTTACATATTTTGTAGTAATTATAGAATAACAAATTATTATAAAATAACAGACTCTTTTTAGCCAATCAATGAGAATTAATGCAAACATAAAAATGTAGTCAAGCATAAAATAGTAACTGTCTAGCGATGAAGATTATTTAAATAAAATATGCAGTTGATATACTATAAACTGAAGTGCATGAAATACAGTATATGCTTTAGGCTGTGGTAGGCTTTCTTCTATTTGCTAATAATTTTAAGGTAACTTTAAATATGATATTACAATTATTAAAGTAATTCAATTTAATCAAATCTCTTCTTTAGTCCCATGTACACGTTGTCATCCATGTAAAAAAAGAATTGTTGATAGTTGGTGTTTCAAATAAGAGTTGGCCATTACGCCACTGTGCAGGCAAAATTGCTTTCATAGCACCCTGCATAATAATATGCCTGTCTTAGTTATCCTAGTCGGTGCAGAAAAGTAGTAGGACGTTAAATCCAATTTCATTTATTTAACATTATAAAATATACCTGGGTATGAGTTCTACCAATTTTAATAATATCCTGGAATTCTTTAACTTTTTCATTTAAGGCATCATGTAGTGTAGATAAGGCAGGAAGAAGTCTTTGGTTTATGTCTATTGCAACGGATATATGCATGGCAGTAGGGAATGTATCGTTGGAGCTCTAAAATATAAACCATAATAAAATTAAATTGACTGTTTAAAGAAATAAGTGTGATTTAATGGTTGAGAATGAGACATTAAGTAATATATTGATACTAAATGAGGACATTAGTCCGAGGGCTATATCATTATATTACGCAATGTCTTGCTCAAGACCATTAAACAACTTAAAATACAGACACTATCCCACCCGTGCATTTCAATGAAATCGTAATATTTGATTTGGTATAAAATTATATATGTATTGTTGGCACGGTGCCCGTACAAAATAATGGTATGCCAGCATCAAAGAATGGCGTATAAATATAGGTAAAGATTGTATATCGCACTGTCTGGATAACAGTTTGTATTGTACATGTATATATCACAGAAAAGGTGACAATGCTCTGTATAATGGAACTAGTAATAAAGGATCACAAAGTGCCTGAATGTAATGTGAAAATGAAGGAAAATATAAGACATGACTTACATCGTGTAAGTGATGTGTCAAGGGAGATAACTCTATTTTGTAAACCGTTATAATTTAGACATACTTTGGGGTTTTTTTAACATTCAGATGATTTTCACAACAAAGAACCCAACATGTGACATTCATTTGATTGACATCTACGGAACCTATAAGCCTACATGTCAATTTCGAAGTGAATTTCTGTTTGCCCCCTGAAATTAAATATAATTCACCAAATTCTGGCAGAATATGTATATTCAAACACTTTACTTTGATTCTGGACCAAAAAATAAACAAAACCCGCCATACAATTTCAATCTGTGACAGAGAAAATCAGGATTAACATTCATTTAAACAGGAATAATGTCTCAATACCCTGATCACTCACCTGTGACATATTAACATGATCATTAGGATGTACAGGTGTTTTGCTACCCATAACACCACCTAATATCTCAATTCCTCTATTACTAATAACCTCATTTACATTCATATTAGTCTGAGTACCAGATCCTGTTTGCCACACAACAAGAGGAAAATGATCATCAAGTTTACCATTTATTATCTAAAAAATATACAACTAAAATATAAATAAATTTCTATTTCTATAATGTGTGCTGCTAAAGAGTACTTCCCTGAATTGTATTTTGATACATTTTAAAATAGAAATGGCTCCACATCAAATGCAATATATGATGCACATAATCATAAACATCTTTATTTTGTTCATTTCAATTCTCTGCCTACATTAGTTGAAGATCAAACTACTACCATATCAGTTATCTGTTCCGTTTGAAATCAGACTGAAGCCAGGCAAACTATTCTTACCTAAGACAAAATCCTCTCTCCATTGGCTAGATGAAAAGTCAGGTCAATTACATTTCTATTTGAAGAGATAATGATAATGAAATCAGACTTAATGTCTTACTTTTTTGCACAAGACAGGAATATGCCATACAGTGTGCTATGAGGGAAATTTTATCTGGACAACGGTGCTATGGCCTACCCTTATTTTGAAATCAAATTTCAAGGGTTCTTTTACAAACGACTAGATACGGTTTCTTGCCAGGCCTTCAGTCTTGCATCTCGAACCTGGGATCTCCTAGTTAGCGGGCCAGCACCTTACTCATTGAGCTACCACGGATCCACTTGTTGTATTTGATCACATTTAACAGTCAAATTCATATTAAATGCTGTGTTCTATTTTAGGATATTTTAGTATTAAAATGTTATTGCTTCCTGAAATTAAAGCAACATTAAAGGGTTTATGTTATTCAGATTTAAATTGACAGCAAAAATATAAATTTATACTGACCTCTTCACAAACCTGTACAATAGTATTAGCAACAGTCCAATCTAAACCATAGCTTTTATTGACTAGTGCAGCAGATCTCTTTAATATTCCAAATGCTTTTATAACAGGAAGCTTAAAAGTTAAAATACAGACAAATCATCATAACATCAGAAAATCACACCTGGAAATATTAATCAGATTTGCAGACCAAATGTTGGGCTATAGCCTATAATCATACCTAAGCATGTATTAAAAAGTCAATGACAATGTGTACACAAGCAAATGATCCCTATAATGAACTGAATTAAAATGAGGTTTAATGTCCTGCTTTTCTGGCCCAACTGAGCTAATCTTACTACAGTGCACTCTGTCACATCCGACATCGTACAGGATCGTTACAATATGTCGGATTAAGCAGAGTGTCGAAATATACCCAGTTTTCTCAAAACCGGAAGTATTATTATAATGTAGCTTCGAACATACATGTAAAACTTCGAATCACCAGGTGCTAGGAATATTTTTACGACTGTGAATTCGGGGGAAAATTCGCGGATATTCTTGAGTATTTGTCACAACTGTTGTACAAGAGATTAAAATTATCAAAGTAATCAACAAAGACCCACGGTAGCGAGTTTTAATCTCACAGATAATTGATTGGTGATTGCTTGTTAATCTTTTGTGGCTTCACACCCATCCAGTTTTAATCTCACAGATAATTGATCGGCAAGTGTTTGCTTCACACCCACCGATTGAAGGCCGGATTATACGGTGTCGATTCAATGGAAATCGTATGACGGGACGGCTGATTGATGTCATAATCCGGAACGTACAGAGGTCGAATTACCCAGAGATTTTTTTGGCTGAAATAATAAGGAAATAAATTGGGACATGAAAATGGTGTCGGATGTAACAGAGTGCCGGAGTGATCAGAGGTCGGATGTGACAGAGTGCACTGTATTTAAGTTCCAATTGTCAAGGGTTATTTTACGTGCACGAGAACATGTACATGGGACATTGATTTTCTTCCCACCCAAATGACTAGACATTGTTCCTTGCCAGGTTCTCCGCACTGCATCTCTGGTGAGAAGAGACCATGCTAAAATTCCTGGCAAACTTTCTAGGTCAAGATCAGGATTGAACCCAAGATCTCCTGGGTATAGTGAGCCAGCGCCCTATTCACTGAGCCCCCTTGAAAGAGTGTGATCCAATTTCTTTTCAGGAAAAATCCTCCCGGAAATTATATAATTGCACATGAGATTTACTCAAGAGTAGAAACCTTCATTCTACTAATCTGTGTACTTACAGGCATTCGTTCGGATTCTCCACCAATATCAAAATTAATGACAGATCGTGCTGTGTTTGCTCCATAATACTTGTTACAAGGTACCTGGATCTCACCAAAACTATCTGTTTCTATTCTACAACTATTTGTATCTCCACTCTAAAAATAAAATCAGTGAAATTCATTCTTATCTCTTATAAACTCATGTAAATCGCATATCGCTATCATTATCACCATTTGGAACATTCAATCCCAATAGCCATATATTATCAACGTAGGCTGCCTGGATTCGAAATGAAATGAAATCAAATGGAGCTTAATGTCCTATCGTACGACTGGGTAAAAAAAAGTGATTGTCAGTGATGGAAATGGAAATGAAAATAGAAAAATATAAGGGAGTCGGATCAACATGACCGCCGGTATCAGGCCTAGCCACCTTTAAAACCCCCTGAAAATTTCAAGTCTCTACGACCACGGGAACTGGTAGAGGTGCGAAAGTACAATAGCGGCCTATACATGTAAATAGAAACATGGAAAAACATTTAAATAATTAAAAAAAACAAAATATTTCCAGCGACTTTAAATGTGGCAGCCACTGTCAGGTCACACGTGTTTAGTTTAGAATGAAAATCAATTTTGCACCGCGTTCAGTGGGTTTGACACCAAAAGTAATGGGAATATAAAACATAATGTTGTTTTGTAATGTAGAATTAACAAAATACAAACCATTGCTGTGTCTGCAAATTACCAAACGAATATAATCAGGCTTGTATCTTTTTTTTTGGCAAAAACCTCCACAGTGTAAACAAATAAATTACCTCCCTTTAATAGTCGTGCTTTACAAGACTCATGTAGTCTCAATAGAAATTGCAAGGTATTTGAAGAAGTGTTGTCAAAACCTAAAACAAAAATGAATCAAAAAACAAAAGAACCTAAGTTGACTTGAAAAATGTATTGTTAAGATAGATAGGGCTTAGGTTTACTTTTCCCATACGGTATCAATTAATTAATTCTATAAGGCCATTTGAAGTTTAGCCTACATTAGATTGTAGGCCTAATTGATTGTTGAAGTTAAAGCCACTTTCTTTAGGCATCCGTTGAATATGGACAGTGAGGCAACCACCTAGAGACCTACCCTTATTTTGTATTCCAACTGTCAAGGGTTCTTTTACGTGCACAGAACCTCGGGTCAGATCCCATCCGATTAGCTACTGTTCCTAGACCCTTGGGAGCCACGGTGGCTAGTTGGTTAAGACGCTGGCTTGCTAGCCTGGAAGTCGGGTGTTCGATCCCTGCAGTGGCCGAGAAAGTTCATCCTGATTTTCCGACGTAGTTTCCCCTTGTTAGTGGTGCAGAACGGAGGGCCTGACATGGACAGCTGTCTAGTCCTTCAGATGAGACGAAAAACCGAGGTCCCGTGTATATATTAGAATGCACGTAAAAGATCCCCTGGCAGTTGGAATTCGATATAATTAGAGTAGGTGATAGTGCCGCTGTCCGGGCAAAATTTCCCTCATAGCACACTGTATGGCGTATGCCCGTCTTCATTAGCCCGGTATAGGAGCAGAACAGGACGTTAAACCCCATTTCATTTCCTAGGCCCTCGATCCATTCTACAGAACGAGTAGGCTTTTGAGTTTGGAAACAATAATAGAATTGTTCATTATTGTTCCATATTCAACGGATGCCACTATTTTTACTGCAGAAAAGTAGGATTAAATCCCCATTTCCGACCAGTTTTTTTAATTGACCTATGGTACTTATGGCTTAGTGGACGAGCCAGAAGATATTTTTTATAATTGTTGCCGCAATTATCTAAATCCAATTTCTTGATTGTAAAACTTACCTCTATGGCCTTGGTCAACTTTTTCAGTACTGGTAGCTATCACTTGCATAACAAGTGGCCTAGGCCTATTATTTCCTCTAAAATGTATATCTACAAAGGCCATATAGGCCTATGATCAATATTCTTTGATTTGTACACAAGTGGTGGGGGTGTGGAAGGTGTGTGCTTTTCAACCCCTCCCCTCATATTGGGTCAATACAAACACAACGTGTAGGCCTATATCCCTGGTCGATCATACTAGTCATTAGTTGGGTAGGCTATACAAATTCAGCCATGCATAAGGGGACACATGACCAAGAATTTTGCTCTCATTCAGATGGGATGATCCATAAGGCCTGTCATCTATTCCAGGTTTGTACAATTACGACAAACCGTAGACCTATTTGCCCAACTACATGGGTTATCTCTGTACACCGGTTGAACCCCTTCTTATAAAGACGCCTCCATTCAAATGATTTATCGAAACAAAATTATACTAAACATTGGAATGAAAAGAAAAGACCTTCAGTGCAGATTGGCATACAGAAAAACACTTTACTCTATCGACAAGACATTAAACTCCATTAAGCCCTACATATTTTTTTCTGTGTTTAAAAATATTTCTTAGACCATATATAAAAACATATTGGTTTTCAGATGATCTTGTGTTACTTAAAAAGGGCTGCGTCCCCAAAAAATAAAGTCTCACATAAATGTTTTACCCTATTACAGGAAATAGCTGATTTGGATGAAACCTGAAATATGGCATAGGCTCATTTATCAAGTACACAACCCTGATAAATGATACTGACAATCATAAATGATACTGGATTATCACATACTCCTGTTAAACAACAACATAAGATAAATGTACGTAGTGCCTTGGGTTGAAATGTGATGTTTATTAGCAGTCATTTAGCCCAGTTATAGTGATCCTTTAACAAAATAAAAACACAAAATTAAAAACCTCCATCCTGCATGAGTTTTTTGGAAAGGATTGTTTGAGAACCAGAATATTTTTTTCGTATGGCCTTAGTAGTGTACCATATAGCCTATTTCCACCCAAGTATACATAGGCCAAAACATAATTATGATGAGTTTGGTTGTCTTTGAGTGAAAGTGGTCGTGGTGTACAGTATATTAATCATAGATCAAAGTTAAATAGTTGCCTCCTTTGCCTATAGCCTGTTCTTCTTCTGAAGATAGGTTGCCAGGCAACGAACATACTCCTACAGAAGCTAAATAGTCCGAGCAGTCGATTAGGGTTGTGGCATATTTTTTCAGTTGTAGGTAATGGGGAGGGGGGGGGGCATTTACAAGACCATTACATACAGATCAGATTTAAAATTCCGTCATTTGTGAATTCAAAGAGTTCTACAAACTGAAACAAGGGTCTTAACTCTGGAAGTAATTTACAGAAATTGTTAAAATTTGATAGGATCTTTCATACAAGGGCCATAACTCTAGAACTTAATAACAGAAATTCAATAGGCTTCTTCGTTTCACTAATTTAAATGATACATATAAATTTCATACAGAACTGATGATAACTTTTGTTGTCAGCGTGTTCACATGGTTCATAACCCTAGACCCAATTAATATAAATTTCTGAAATTCAAACTGGTTCTTTGTTTCATTAATTTAAATGATGCATATGATATTCATACAGATCAGATGATAAGATTTGTCGTTCTAACAAGATTAAATAAAGTGAAACAAGGGCTCTAACTCTAGACGGAAATTGCTGAAATTCAATAGGCTTCTTTGTTTCACTATTTTAAAGGATACATGTAAATTTCATACAGATCGGATGATAACTTTTGTCATTAGAGCGTTCACAGTGTTTGACAAAGTGAAACAAGGGCCATAACTCCAGAAGAAATAAACGGAAATTATTAAAATTAAATAGGATTCTTCATCTCAGTAATGTTAACAACAAATATCAATTTCAAAACAATCAAATGATAAATGTAGTCTGTAGAGAGTGTTCACAAGAAAGTGTGAACGCCAGGCGGACGGACGGATGGGGGCGACGGCAATATACAACATTTCAATGTGCGCATATAAAAAGGTGACAAAAACATAAAGAATACTGTATAAAATTTATTGTATTTAACTGGGTACTGATAAACAAGTCTAAATAGAAATTACCTCGATGACAATATAAATACTGTAAGAATTACACAACTAATTATATAATTAGCTATGAAGTATGTCCCGGTAATCCTGTTCAACAAGTATTGCTCTCTAATACTGAAAACCAAATAAGGCTAAGCATCTCTGATTTTTTCAACAAGCCGAGAAGTATTGTCAGTTGCAGTCAATATACAGTTCTTGGTAGTTTCTGTAAACTTACATTTGACCTTGGGATTTAACATAGTTATGTCACAAGCAATTTTATTGCCATAGTAGGCCTACATCATCAAGAGATATGACATCTTAATATCAACCTTAGTGTGGTCAAAAGTAATTCAACTATGATTGCCAAGAAAGTAATGTTCATGTTTAATGTTCTCGGTGGGCTTTGTAATACAACTTTGTAGTGATGCAGCTATTATTAACTCAAAAAAAAAACCTGGTCAACACCATTAGCAGTCACAGCATCCCAGGCAACGAACCTGATCTGATTTTCCTAAATTAAGAAGAGTCTAATACTTAGTGAGCAGGGTAATATTGGAAAACAATAATAATGATAATTACACATGGAATATAATATAATGTATTAATACATTTTAATTATTCCTCCACCAATATAATAAGAATTTATATAATAATAATTATATAATATTAATGTATCTATAAGATCTTATATTGCACATTAATGTAATAACAATAATATCTATTTTATTAATTTGTATTCTGTAATACATACTTTAAAGTCTATCAAATGTTTCACTAAATATCTCATGACTAATAAATCAATTCTAAACTCTTTTTCGCCTATTAGAATCATCTGTTTTCTTTTATAAACTTTTTAAATGAACAATGAAACAACTATAAGGTTACTAATTGAATTGTTAAATTTCAACAATACTAGATAGTAATTAAAGATATATTCCTTCAGGGATAATTAGGTCATATGTTGAACCCAAAAGCTTTTATCTAAAAATATAATAATGTATTAAGGATACTATTATTTTGATTCTACATTAACCCGAATAAATTTCATTCCAAAGTTTCAATCAGTTGATGTGCCACAGAAAATCTAGTAAGGGACAGAAAATGATGTATTTGCTCTTATTAAATCTCTTAGGAATTATTACACACAATAAATAAAATTCTGGTGAAAGATAACACATTACTTTAAGCAGTTTTTCTTGTGTTTTGGATATATACATCCATCAAATGTAAGACCATTATCATCAAAGGGATATATCTTTAAATATTTTCTGAGCAGATATAATGTAAGATTGTGTATAAAAAGTACAAAACTGTTGGTAACAAGAATAATAACAATTATGCATAATATATACCACTACTATCACTACAGGTAAATGAATTAATCTAGAAAAATGTTAGTAATATCTATCTAAATACATAATCTCAATAATACATAATTAACATTCATATACTATCATTAATTTTAACTAAAAACAAATACTTAAATAAACTATTAGTTCTAACGTCTTGGCTGCATTCAATATATTTGTTTGAGCTCACCCTAATTTAGCACAAAAAATATTTCTGACTACTGAACCAAATGACTTGGTTATTAATCTTTATATTCAATTTTAGTAAATCTTTGCTTGGCTATAGCTCATTGCATCTGCATGAGAAGTATAAGATTGATTTTGAAATTGTGTTATGCTTGAAAATGTACAACTCTGTGGTAGAGGTAAGGGTACTATATATATATGCCCCATGAATAGTTATACTGGCAATTCCAATTAATCACCAATCATTCAAATATGAAAGCAGTGTAATAAGTTATTCAGCACTTGTCATAAATAAAATTTAACAGAATATAAAACAATACTTGAAAAAATAAAATTACGGTAACAATCTTATCTATTATATTCTTATATATACAATTGAGAAGATCATATTTCTGATCACAAACTTGGTGGTGCATCTTTAGGTTTTGTTTAATATACATCGAATTAAAAACGACCAAAAATATCCTTGTATTACTATTAATTTCCAACCAAATCATGCAATCAAATGATATCATGATAGATTTCTGTAATTAACTGATTGAAATACCTATTTCATGATGCTAAATTTCACTAAAAAATCTTTATAACAAAATATATAGAAATCAAGAAAATTCCTTTCTATTATTATGGAATTCTATTCAAGAATCTAATTCTGATCAGCCGTGATTAATTAAGCAGCTCTTCTCTGTTTTTGTGTCAACATTATGGCAATAACTTGATTTATTATTATATTTTATTAAAGGACAATAAAATGTCTCTCTTGAAGTTTTTAAAAATTTCTTAAAAAAAGGCACATAAATAACACGAAAAGCCCTAGAAAAGTTGCAGAGTAGAATGCTTCAATGAAAAGGAATGTCCTTACCTCTAGTTATAATATTATGAGCAGATTTTAATACATACTGATGAGCTAATACGACAAAACAACACATCAATATAACATTCATATTTTTCCCGAGAGCTATGGAATCAAAACAACTATATTATAATAAAGAATAAATGTTTGTAGTCTTACTCAATTTCACTACTCAATTGACATTATATTAATTAGGTTAGATACATGTATTATGATAATATCATAGACAAAATGTAACATATTTCCGGTAAATGATTAATAAATTCTAACATAAATGTTCATAGTTCATACCACAATTAAGAAATTAAATCAGGTATCATATTTTTCTGCACCAAACCGGCTAATGAAGACAGGACCACAATTTACATTTGGATACAAAGCTTTCGCTATTACACTTTTTTTGTGGAGATTTCACCATATTTGGAGTTTAAAAACTATTCCAATCACAAGTTTTAGATTGACATTTAAAATCATCATTAAGTACACAATTACTGGTGCTTCTAAAACTGGAAATTGAATGATATTAGGGAAGTTTATTTGCCCCTTACAAATATGAACATATTACTTAATCAACAATTTATAATTTACCCAAATCAAGTCTGCAGTACGCGTTGCTTTAATCTATTATCCAGATATCAGATCCTAGTGACATACATCTTACAAACATTATATTCTTATTTCAATACTTGTAATAAATAAATAACATTAAAACAATAAACACGAAAAAATACTGGCTTCAACAAGCTAAAAATTCTGAAGCAAATGTACAGCTTAAAGATTCTGTAAAAGCTGCAGAAGACCTACAAGTTTAAGTCAGGCAGCCATACTCCTTCTAGTTAACCAGTTACTTTATTTCACAAATTGAAACTAGGATTGGGTATCTCACTCACACAGTGGTGACATATCCACAAAACTCTTACATAATATATACACAAATCCTTTCATCATTTTTCATCTCACCACAGAATATGGTTACAATTTAATAAAGAATATTATAAAATGACATCAAATATCTTTAGTTAAACGAAAACGTGATTTTAATACAAAATACTTGTAAAATAAGTATTGCTATAAAAAAGTGCAGTTAAAAAAACTCGTATTTTTGATTTTACATAATTCGCCATTATGTTTTTTTTTACAATTTTTTTAATATTTGATATTGGAATTTCCATCGACTTCAATTGTCATTTTGTATTTTTTAACTTCAAATTTTGATTACTCTTTATGATTGATGATACTATGTCTTATTAATGTAAGGCCTCATTTGTAAAGTTTGTGAATTCTTTTAAATCTCACAATCAAGAGGATACAAAAAATAAAACCCTTAGATTTATCTATTTACATATATAAACAAAGAAGATGATAAAAACCTAATTAAAATTAATTAGAATCAAATGACACATCTAATCCATACTACGGAAATTCTTTTAAATAATAATGTAAGGTTTTAAGTAATCTTCAACATTTGCATAGTTTATGGAATGTAAGTAATGGTTTGATTGGTAATGAAGCTGTGACCAATCAGATCACTTGTTTTATTGAGTGATCTTTTTGGTGAAGTTTTCTGGGAAGACGCCTTTAACACCATTTGTTTGTTTAACACCCATTACCCAACCTTCATCCTAAAACAAATTATAAAAAAAATGAAATACATTTAGATTACACAAAATTCAAAGGCAGTACCAGTTTTATCTATACTCGTAAATTTAACAGAATATAAGTCGATGTGGAGGTTAAGTCGAATTATCATATTTTACTGTTTTTCTTGGGTTGATAATATGTTGAAGTGGGGGGGGGGGAGTATGATTTTAAATAGATAAATAAACAAGCTAAGAAATGTCTATAAATATTTCGATTGGAATAGTGTAAGTAAATTTTTCGAGATGTCATTCTTTTTACCTTCATCCATATATAAGTCGAAGCGGAGTATAAGACAACGGTCGGACTCCAGCGAAAAAAAGTATTGACTTATACCCCTAAAAAATATGGTAATTTCTTTACCCTAATTTGACCTCAAGGTTTTATTTGTAAACAGAAGGCCCTGGAGTCAGAGTATGTGTGCATACATATCAATTTTACTGCTACATTTGTACACGATTAATACTTCTAGAACATCTGATACCACTTCTATTTTACTTTGGATTTTATTTCGATACTAACCTGTTCTTCTGGATTTTCATATGGTACAACCCAGATTAAGTCTCCAGTATCAAAAGTTAACTCATCAGTATCTTCGCCATTATATGGGTGTGTTGCCTCCACCTTAAATATACAATATCAATATAAATCTTTTATACCTCTTTATTTATACAACAAAGGGAATAATCGTATAACTTGCATTCATGGCTCTTGTAATTGCCCTGATAAAATAAACATCTTTTCAGGCAAAAAATTACAAAATTTCCAGAGTTTATTCCAAAAGATAACAGTTTGAATGTTTCATTTGCAACCTATAGAATTAGAAGGAACTGAATTAACCAGTGAAAACCCATGAGTTTAGACAGGCAACGCCCCTCATTTTCACCTGTAAGTGTGGGATTCAACCCATGACTCCACATTATAGATAATAGACCTTACAATCTACTGTACGCAAGTTAGACAATAGTAAAAGTTTTATATCTATACTAAAGAATAGGCCAGTGGCACTAGTTCTACAGGTTATTTTATTGTAAAGATCCATAGACCCAAACTAGAGTCCAAATAATAAAACATTTGGATATGCAGGTTAACATTTGAATAGCAACCTCTGCAATTGCCATTAAACACATTATCTGGTACAAACATCTTTCTCCTGAAAATGAATCTGGCCCCCTACACCTTGCATTTCTCCACATATTTCACCCTCACTAACAGTCTTTCTAAAATCCCATCACTTATTATTAATCTTTCAATTTCATATGATTATTATGATTTAAAGGAGGTAAATCTCTATTCTTTGGCACCTAGAAATGGACACAAATGGGTTGCAAGACTCGCAACACATATAATAATGTAATATAAATGATTATAAACTGATTTACATTCAGTCTTTTTTTACTTTAATTTCTAATCAGTTATGTTCGGCGAAATATGTGAGGAGTCCAAATTGAATGGCAGTCTTTGGTGTCTGGTTATTCCAGTCACACCAGTAGTATTCTCCTGTGGGATATGTTAAGCCTCGTTCATCGAGTCGCTTCATTACAAATGGTGCTCGAAAGCATTCTGGTACGCGAATCGTGTGCCAATTTTAAAACTTCCATTTTGTCATAAATATTGGATATCAGAAAACCATCTTTCAAGGTAAGATAACAACATCAATATTGATTTAAATTGACCAATAAGTCGTGTTTGTAATGTCGAAGCCACTTGATAATCATGTTGAATTAAAGATTTGCCTCCTTTAAATAAAAAAACAAACTCCTTTATCATTATTGTATGATGCCTTCTAATCTGTATAAATATTACCAATAAGTTTACCTCATATAACACTGTTGGTGGTGCATCTTTAGACTTTACAGCAGGTGGACTTTTATAAATATCATCTTCTACATTCACTTCCGGTTTTGACTCTTCAACACGTCGAGGTGTTGGCGTATCGTACACATCCTTATCAACAACCTTATCTTCCTCAGGTGGACTAGGTGGTGGATAGTCAGGAGCATCCACAGTCTCTTCAGTTTTTGTGCCATTAACTTTCTCCTCAGCTGGTGTGCTATTAACTTTCTCTTCAGTTTCTGTGCTATTAATTTTCTCTTCAGCGTCTGTGCCATTAACTTTCTCTTTAATTTTTGCACTAGCCTAATTACATAGAAGAAGATTAATATAATTGGGATATTTTTTGGTAATTTGATGCCAGAGTCGGTGTAATTTTTAAACTACTATAATGGCTGTCCATACATATTTTTAAAAATAAACATGTTTAAAATATTAATTCAAGTAACACTACAGAGATCCTAAAATCAAATAAGAACACTGACCTCGTCAACACCTTGTTTGACCTTTTCTACGACCTCCTGACCCTTTTCTTTAATTTCCACAGATGTTTTCTTGACAGCATCGACAACCTGCTGATTACCATATACTATGGTATCTGAAAGCAAAGAAAAGAAAAGAAAAGAATAAACTAAGTACCAAGGTGCATAGTCAGAAATACAATTCAACATACTTATTGGCACTCCTTTTTTAACTCAAATATGGCATCTTGGAATTCTTTTCAGAATCATGATTAAAATCTCATCAAAACTGGATAAACTCTTTAAATGAAATGAAATGGGGTTTAACGTCCTACTGTTCTGCTCCTAACCTGGGCTAATGAAGACGGGCATACGCCATACAGTGTGCTATGAGGGAAATTTTGCCCGGACAGCGGCACTACGGCCTACTCTTATATCGAATTCCAACTGCCAAGGGATCTTTTACGTGCACGCCAATGTGTACACGGGACCTCGGTTTTTCGTCCCATCCGAACGACTAGACAGCTTTCCTTGTCAGCCCCTCCGTCCTGCATCACTGACAAGGGAGAATCACGCCGGAAAATCTGGATGAACTTTCTCGGCCAATGCAGGGATCGAACACCCGACCTCCGATAAACTCTTTAGGCTTTCATATTGTCAAAGATGTATTCTTGAAAACCACATTTGTTTTTCTGAGGTTATATATTTATCAGGTAATTATCAACACCAAACCTCGTAAGACAAGTCAATGTGAAAAATACAGTGGGTGCTTAATTTTTTTCTTTAGATCAATCCAGAATCTAATATACTGTTGCCATTAAGTCATAGATTTTAAAAACACATACTTTTATTGTATTTGACAAATAAACAATTTAGATATGTTCCCTTTAAACAGTCTTGGTATGACTTACCACCGCCATTTTGTTTTATCGGTGACCCTGGATTACTGTCTGTAAACGATGTTCCTGCACTTGATTCATCATGAGTACCATTAAACACATGTTCATCTACACTTCTACAAATAAAAACAATAAACCATATACTAATGTGTATATGTTTTCCCTTTAATCCACATATAGAGCAGTTGCACTTTGTTAAGGAACCATATACAGCGGCTATTGTAATGTGAGTTTTAATTGGTCTGCACTTAGGCTTGCCAGCCAATCAACACTTAAATCAAAGAAGTTGCCTCATAAATGCAAGTGTTCAATTGATAGATTTCAATTTACTTTTGTATTTGGGTGATAATTCTCCAAAAGTGATTTGTTGCTGTGCATCAAACTCAGTGTCTGGTTCTGGTAAATTAAGTTAACTTTTTAACTTCATGGCACACATTGTTATAACCCTTGTTATCCAAACAATAATTAAAAATGGATAATGGTTAAAATATCTGAATAGTATATAAGTATCTGATACGTATGTGCCCACAGTGACCTGTGCTAACAAAATGCTTCACTCATCCAAAGTTATGAATTGGAGTTCAAATAACTAATACATATGCATGTATTGATATCATTCATTGTCATCTTTAGTTTAATTAAACAGTTCTAGATTGGAGTTATTTCTAAACACTCTACAAACATTGACTGAATCATAACCATCATCCAGACACATCACTTGTTTGCCCAATCAGAACTTTGTTGTGAAGTGCTCAACCTTTTAAAGGCGACACAATTTTATTATAGATGTCAATTGCATCTATAATGTAACCTTTGCATTGTTTTGATTTTAAATATTTATATGCATGAACAAATGTGATAATTGTTTTCAATTTATACCTCAACTGTGATATTTGTTTTTTTTTTAGGCAAGTGATAATATTTTAGTTTGTCCCCTACATTTCACCACATGTTTGGCTCACTATATGACCTGCCATAAAACTCTATTTCATTTTCATATTAATCGTTACATTCTTTAAAGAGAAATGTCTCCAAAAGACAAAAAAGACAGGATTGGAGCGATAAAACTAAACTATTATGGGTATTCTCCATTCATATGTACACAGGTACTAATTAGTGTAATGTCTACAAAGTAAATAAAAGTAGGTTATAAGCCAGTGAACAAAAAATTTCTAAATAGTTCTAAAGCTGATTAAGAAAGTCTCTATCTAATCACACTTGTAATTTTCTATTACTGGAAAAACATTATTGTCGGCGATATCACTACGGTTGAAGCAGACGTTAAATAAAGCTATAAATTACTACAGGGTCTCCTGGTCTAAAAATGAAATTTTTGCAGTAAGTCCAGAACTGATTTAGCTAAAGTAAATATTCCAATTTCATATAAATTGAATACACGTTTATTAAATCAAAACACACAAGAAGACTCAGTCATCAACATATATCAAGAATTAAGTAAATTTGTTTCCATGGAAATACAAATATTATTAGATCCTCAAAATTCTAATTAGCAAAAGGCACAACTACTAGAGTTTCATAAAGGTATCTTAAAAGGTTTATATGATATCCTCTGAAAACAAAGCCAGGACATAACAAGGAAATTAACTGTTTTACATACATGTTTTTTTGATTTTACATACAATTTGAACATGAACAAGAATAAAATAGTATCTATTGAAGTTTGAGGCAGAAAGAATTTTTGTTATCAAGTAAAAGATGGAGAATTGGCCTTTCTTGTAGGTTAAATGAGAAGTAGATCCAAATTTAAATAATGCTTCTTTAAATGATTTTACTTTTACAATTAACAAGTTGAGCATCAAAAACTCTTGTCTTGACCCAGGCCAGGACAGGCTGATATACAAGACACCTAATCAAGCGTAGGGGTCTTTAGCAGTGTGGGGTAGCTGGGAAAAACATACGAGGTTGCACAAGGGACCCTCGTCTTTGTCACGTACAAGCTTGAGGTTGAAACAACCCTACTTGACTCAATAACTTAAATCAATTGTAACTTAAAGATACATTCCCATGTACAAACTGGGTGATTTAATGGTATATATGGACTAAAAACATATTCAAACTAATTAATTTGTCATAATTTTGCTTCAAATCCTTCTCAAACATTGTAATTGCGAAGGAATACCCTGCTATAAAAATTCGATCAAACTAGGTCATGTTTACGTCACGTGACTTACCTCTCTTGGAAGTCAGAGGAGAATTCATTGCATAGAATTCATTGCATACATAAGACAATGTTGTCTTTAATCGCTTACTATTTATTACAAATATCGAATCCTAATTAAATTCTCGGATTATCCACTACCTGCGTCTTTTTCCGTCATTTTTATCTCAGAAAGTCTTGTACGTCTAACTCTTCATAAAGTTTATCAACTTGTACATCAAGCGCTCAATGTTCGCGTGTGACCTTTGACATCACGCGTGCAGAAATTCCTAATCGTCGGTCTATCGATTAGGGGAACCCTTACATTTTTGTCCTGTGTACGCTCCATGAGTGTTTTTCGGGGAATCCAGTATTTTTCTAGTAAGATTGGATATCTCTACTTTCCATATATACCAAAATTGCCATACTTTTATTGGAAATAACCACCCATTAAATACTTTTCTGGGAACCCATCTTTAACTACAGTGTTTTTAATAAAACAAACTTTCGCTAGTACATGTTTTTAAACTTGATATTTAGCTTTTATTCTGGCATGTTGGGGAGTTGGGGCTTTAATCAAGAGAAGCAAACACTATCCAACAACAAAAATCTAATGGACAAATTAGGTAAAATTAAGCAATAGCAGATGGACTATCTATATAAGATCTTAAGGTTATCACAGGACATATCGGTCATCCATGGACATGGATGACAGCACTTTTTATTTTGCAACAAGCAGAAATTGGTCAATTTACAGACATTGTTGAAAAACTTACCCTTTAGAACTATAAATATGAGCTTGTCTTCTATGATAACATAACAACAAAAATATATAAATATAGATAATTTTCAACAGACACACAACACAAAGAACTTGTTTGTTGGTCTTATTTTTTTATCCAAAGTAATGGTGTACAGTGTGCTTATCACCTAACCAATGACATTCATAACTCTTCCAGTAAAACACCAAAATAAGCAGTTTGTCATGAGTTAAAATATGAGATGTCTTTCCAGGGTAGACCATATTGCAAACATTGTAGGACATGACCAAGATCAAATTTATGGATGTTTATGAAAAGACCCAAAGACCCAAATATATGGTCAGACGTTTTAACATATATGTAAGCCCATACTTGTAATTGTGACAAAAGAATCCCCAAAAAGCTCCATTTGGTTAAAAGTTGTATATATTCAATGATAATTTGGTCAAATATCAGTGGTTTGAGAAAATAAATGAGCTTACCCGTCAGATAAAGTCGAGCTCAATGGTCGACTAAGTGGGGTGTATTCAAAATCTCTGAAATCAACCTGTAACTGATTTGTTATATCTACTTCTTTTTCAGCTATCTGTTAATATATCATAATAAATTCAAATAAATCCTCTTAATTTAAAGTTTAGAATTACATTTCATAATGTAATAGTCTGGGTATTTCTGGTCAATATCAGTATTAATACATGTTAATTAATCACCTAATAATTTGTTTATGAAATGCATATGGGAGCCAAAACGACTGTATGGTCTTTTTTAATGTGTTGCATTGCCTTAAAGCCATTGATCATCATTTGTTGGATTCTGGATTCCTTACAATCTATGCTAATGGATCTCTAAAAGGAATATCAGTCAAAAAATAGCTAGATTCCGTTCAGAATTTACAAAGATATGATGAACTGTAAATTTGGCATCCTCTGCAGATGATTAAATCAGCAGCACCTATAAGTTTTTGGTAAAATCTTTTGATGGTCCTCTTTTTAATCTGATTGCATCGAAGGCAGTCTAGTCATGATATTATGGTTTTGATTTCTTAACAAATATTGTATTTTTGGTAAAATCTTTTGATGGTCCTCTTTTTAATCTGATTGCATCGAAGGCAGTCTAGTCATGATATTATGGTTTTGATTTCTTAACAAATATTGTATTTTAGCGAGGATAAAGACATGAAAAATCAGATACTGTCTGTAAATTGCAAATGAGAATCAGCTCTTTAAATTTGCTACCAAATAACATGTATCCTCTGCAGATGACTAAGTCAGCGGCACCCTATAAGTTTTTGATAAAATCTTTTAATGGAACCTTTTTAATCCTTTTGAATCAATGGTGGTGTACACACAATATTTTGGTTTTGATTTCTTAACAAATATTCTATTTTAGCAAGGATATCGCCATGAAAAATCAGTTACTGTTTGTAAGGTGCATCCCAGCCCTTTAAATTTGCTACCAAATAACATGTAATGGCTCAGAGTTATAATAATAGAAAAGAATTCCACATTTATTTAACATTTATTGTACAGGTTAATATTCAGTAATGGAGATTGACTTAGCCTCTTCAAAACAAACTAGTTATAAATTTCACAGAAACAAAATGGATGTGAAGGAAGAGAATTACCTCTGCTATTCTTCCATGAAAAGTTTTTTCTGCTATAAAAAGGTCATTGAAAATACTTCCAAAAACTGTTGGTCGACTGAAAAGATAAATTATAAATAGCATTGGCATTAGTTAAGCCTGAAGAATATCAGATATAGTAAATGAAAGTGAACTATATATTACTGACCATCAATTCATGATATTCCTTTAGGGAAATCATAGTGGCGGAGTTAATATGGTAGTGGTTCACTAACCAGGAAATCCTGGTATGGGGCAAGAAATTTCCTCTGGATTTTCCAACTACGGTAGGTAGCCCTTTGTCAGTGATGCTGGACAGAGCATCAGCCAAGGAAAAGTATCTAGTTGTTCGAATGGAACGGAATAACTAGGTGATGTATATAACATAGGCAGCACGTTTAAGAGTATTGGACAGTTAGAAAACGAAAGCATAGCGTTGGCCTGTCTTCATACATTGCTACGCATATTCGTATCCTGAACATAAATATTGCACTGTGTATAAATTTCTTTTCAAGCGGATGATAATTTTAGTCTCTAGAGTGTTCACAGGATATTTCAAAGTGACCAAGGGCCATAACTGTTATGCATAACAGATTGATAGTTTTATTGGACAATATTCCAGTTAAACAGGGGCACCTTAATCCTCCCATTCGGACCCTGATCTGTACTATTATTACAAATTCTAGTGATGAATGATGTCTTACCTGCTTTGAAAAGCTGGTAATTCTTTATGTAGATCATTATTTATGTCTAAATAAACCTGTTTTGCTTGAGCTAATTCTTCATGGACCTAAAACAAAAGAGTTGAAAATGAATTCATTTGAAATGAAACAGGTTATACCTTATTTACTATGGTGGCAGTTTCTCCTTTTTGTTTTTGAAACCATAACAGTAAAACAAAGCACACGCCCTTTCTCATTAAGTCCAAAACTAATAGGGTACTCGTGTTTTGAGTAAACATAAAAAGCATTCATAAAAACAAAATGAGAAAACTTTCTTTTAAAATAATATTTCCTGTGATTTATGACCACACTCTACTAGATCTGAGTAGATCTGCCAAATGTAATACTGACCTTATGAACTTTAGTTTCATCTTTTTTCTTTGCCATTTGTATAACATCCACAGAATGTCGAGCATTGTCATAATACATTAATTTGCGTCCTCTTTTGGCTATTTTACTCTACAAAACATTCATTAGATATATTATAACACATAAATAGGTTTCATATGTATGTCCTTCATATTTCCAAACAATTAAAAGGGCATTATGGTAGATTAAAAAAAGAGCTGGCAGTTCTCACTATAATAGTTAAAGACTAAATAATGTAAAGGGAATTTGCTGAAAATTTCAGTCAAATCGATCCACATTGAACCGAGATATTAGCTTTAGAATTTTAGGCCTAGCCTCGATCATCATTACGATAAAAAAACATAGTCTCGATTATCCATTTTTGGATTAAATCATCAATGAGTGTTAAGCAGCAAATCGGATTCAAATCCAGTAAATATCGCAGGCTAGCAATGACACTGAGAGTTGATTATGGTCTGGATAAGTTAATTAACATCTAATTAATAATTTATAACATTTCGGGCCTAAAGAAAAACCTGCAATAGGTAGATTTAGTTCTTGCACTGTATATACTTAGATTAGAAACCAGGGGCTGTAAATAAAATTGAAGCAAATGCGACATAAACCAGTTGTTATTTGATCCAAATAAGAGTTTCTTCAATAACAGAATTGGTAACAACATATCTATGATACATGTATATGATCCAGAAATTACTGGAGTAAGACAGCTATGGGGCTTAATGTCCAATTCAGATATATTCCGGTTAGGACTAACACTGTACTATATTTTGCTTCAATAATTTGTTTGCGTGTAAGTATCTTAGCAATGGGAGGAAACCAGAGGACCGGTGGAAAGCCTACAAGTATGGGAAGGCGACTATACTCTTTGTCACTTACATGTACAAGCTTGGGATCGAAACCATTCCACTAAATGACAGACCTTATGATCTAAAGAGCATGCATTATCAAACCCTTATCATGAATATCCCTTGAAGACACTGACTCGATAGCCTGGAGGTTGGGTGTTCGATCCCTGCATTGGCCGAGAAAGTTCATCCAGATCTTCCGGCATGATTCTCCCTTGTCAGTGATGCAGGACGGAGGGCCTGACAAGGGTAGCTGTCTAGTTGTTCGGATGGCACGAAAAACCTAGGTCCCGTGTACAGTTGGAATTCGATATATGAGAAGGCCGTAGTGCCGCTGTCCGGGCAAAATTTCCCTCATAGCACACTGTATGGTGTATGTCCGTCTTCATGAGCCCAGTTTGGAGCAGAATAGTAGGACGTTAAATGCCATTTCATTTCATTTCATTTCCTTGGTGAAAACATGTCACTTGCAATTATTTAACAGAAGATTATAGTAAGCTATCCAGGAACCAAATTCTTTTGAGAATTTTCTCACAGATTCCCTCCCTGAAATCGTGCATTGATCAAATGTTTAATTCTTTACCTATCTAGATATGTATCTTTCTAGACATGTATGTTAGTGATCCAAAGAGAATCCTAGGCGTCACCCCATTCCTGGAATTAATTTACAACTTAGTAATTACTGGATTCTTATTTGTAAATGATCACCAATAGAACTTACCTTTAAAATTGGAAAATTTGCCAGATATTGAGTTATAGGTTCCATCACCTTCCCCTGTAGTGTTTTCACAAAGTCTACCCATATTTGCTCGGACTCCTGAAATATAAATATGATCATTATAAAAAAACAGGAATAGTATAATTATTCACATCACACAAGGACAAAACCAGATACAAAACAGGGTATAAATAAAATGTCCATGTGAATCAGCTTTCAAGACCATTATGTCTATAGAATACACGAGAAGTGTATCTCTTGAATATTAGATATTAGGATTACATACGTTCACAGCAAGATAATGGACCAATACTAAATTCTAATTTCAATGATAATATTGAGTTAGAGGTTTAGCTCCTTTGAAGCCCAAAACATGTGCATAGAAAATATTCAAATATTCAGGCCCTTGTGGATCAGAAGAAAGAAGCAGAGAGAGACCATCCTCCCATCATTTCAACACAAATATACTTACTATCATTTTACTGAATTGAACTGGCATTTATTAACCAGTACAAGCAATTGAAACATGCTTATGTTAATGAATGCCTTCTTGGAGGTGTGAACTGTTTATATTGTAATTTGAAGATACGGTCTTGGAACTTATTGAGGATTATGTTATAGTGGTTATGTGAATGAATGCCCCTGGGATGTGTACATGTAAACCGTTTATATTGTAATCTTGAAGACAAGGTCTGGGATCTAGTTTAGGATTAACAATATTTAAAGGACACTAAGTTAATTCTTTAACTCTAGGTGCAATCAGGTTTTCATCACCTATTTATAGATAGAGATTTTATTTGGACCTGGGTTAACGTGACCCTTGGGCATGTGATATGTATGTCAATAAAAATTTAATCCAAAATTAACACTTCCTGGTTTTATTATTACATTATAATTAAACTTGATCTAAACAACCCTGAAATCATATAGTATACAATGTATACTGTGTGTATTCAAATATTCCAAGATATATTGCCAGGTTATGCCCAAAGCAATCTTAAAAAGACTTGTTCTAAACAACTCTAAAACCCTACTGATCTTGTATATCCTATACATTTGTGTATTCAAATCTACCAAGATAGTTTGCCAGGCAACAGAACATACACCGATAGTAGTTAAGACATCCAAGCAGTCCATAAAAGCTGATGTGTTATTATTCTTCTGTAGGTAATGGATGGAAGTAATTATGAGCAAAAAAAAATTTGATAGCTTTCTAATTCTGCCTTGTGCCATCATAACTAAAACATGTACAATGCACCTGTAATCAGACAAAAACTTAAGCTGTTTGCGTCATTAGAAATCGTTGAAAGATAATAGGCTTTTTCTTTAAATTTTAAAGTCAAGCATCAATAAGATTTTTCTCTAAGTGATTTAGGGTGATAAATATGACAATAATTATCAGAAATCATTAAATATGGGTTTTTTTTGTCTCATGAACATAATAAAAATAAATGAATAATAAAAAATATTTTTTTTTTACGAAGGGTAAAGGATTAGGTTGCAGAAGTCGCTCTACCATCCTACCCTTCATGAGAAGTATAATACAAAAGATGATAGCTCAACAAATAAAAGGATGAACAAGCCAACAGTGAGGCTGATGTCCCCCGCCGAAATTGCAAAATAAATAGATGACACATATTAATTAATCGCACATTTATTTTTTTCACTAAGTTTCATCACTCTCTATCAGATAGAATCAAGATTATCTTGTCCCAAACCATCGACAAATGAAATCGATTAGCTCTGCTTAGCTTCAGCTCGAAATGTTAATTATTGAACTCAGTCAAGACATTCACCTAATGAACATCTACATATACATCAAGTTTAAACATTCACCTAATAGACACCTATGCCAAGTTTGAACATTCTACCTCAATTAGAAGGAGAGTTATTGTGTTCCAAAGTTTCTACCAATCAAATTGCTTATCACTCTGCTTACCCTCAGCAAAAAATGTTCATTATCGAACTTAGTTAAGGTATTCATATAATAAATCTATACACCAAGTTTCATCAATCTCACTTAATTAGAACTAAAGTTATCGTGTCCCAAAGCATCAACCAATCAAATTGCTTATCTCTGCTTACCCTAAGCGGAAAATGCTCATCTTTGAACTCCATCAAGGCATTGACCTAATCAACACATACACCAAGTTTGAACATTCTAGCTCAATTAGGAAGAGAGTTATCGTGCCCCAAAGTATCAACCAATCAAATTGCTTATCTCTGCTTACCCTAAGCGGAAAATGCTCATCTTCGAACTCCATCAAGGCATTCACCTAATAAACACATACACCAAGTTTGAACATTCTAGCTCAATTAAAAGTTATCGTGTCCCAAAGCATCAACCAATCAAATTGCTTATCTCTGCTTACCCTAAGCGGAAAATGCTCATCTTCGAACTCCATCAAGGCATTGACCTAATCAACACATACACCAAGTTTGAACATTCTAGCCCAATTAGGAAGAGAGTTATCGTGTCCCAAAGCATCAACCAATCAAATTGCTTATCTCTGCTTACCCTAAGCGGAAAATGCTCATCTTCGAACTCCATCAAGGCATTGACCTAATAAACACATACACCAAGTTTGAACATTCTCGCTCAATTAGGAAGAGAGTTATTGTGTCCCAAAAAGTGTGACGGACAGACAGACAGACAGACGGACAGACAGACGGACGAACCCATTTTAATAGTCCCCTGCTTTCTTCGAAAGGCGGGGGACAACAATGGGATGACAGCAGCAAAAAAGACACATACACTTACAAAATGTACGATTAATGCAAAGGCTTAAAAACATAAAACAATGAAAAATTACCTATAAATTTATATGGACATCAAGGGTACCAGTATTATTCTTTGAAAGTAAGATATTTAAAAAGTTGTTTCTTGAAAGAATTGAAGTTAATGGTCAATATTATAGAAGCTGATAGCGCATTCCATATGTTTGAGCCTTTAAAACGAATGCTGTTTTAAACAACATTAAGTTTTGGCCACGGAGTAATTAGTTTGTTATTAATTTTCGGTGTACAGAGTTTCATAGAAAGACAAAAGAACAAGCAGATAATTGGGACATTGGTTAAATAGATTATCTGCTACAAGTCTTTTTTGATATCAAAAAATATCAACAGATTATCTGCTACAAGTCTTTTTTGATATCAAAAAATATCAACACAAGTCAATAAAATAAAAAAACAAGACTCTGTCGAGTTTCTTTACTTCGTCGACGAGTGTTGATATTTTGTGATATCAAAAAGGACAAGTAAGAGATTTTATTATCACTCAATCCTTTCTTGCATGCACAAATAAATAAATACAATTCTTTGCTATAGATTTCACTTTTACTGAACCTGATTACATTACGGTGTATTGATACATCATTTTTTGACAGCAATTCAACCATTGCAAAGTCCTTTATATTGACCCGGTGTTTCCATGAAAGGCAATTAAATTTTAATAAAAATAGTTCCTTTTTTAATAAAAAAAAATGAACTGTTCTTTGAAAATAAAAAAAAGTAGTTCCTTTTTGATTGACCAATCAAATTCATGTAAAGCAATATCTCCTAAGTAGATTATGAAATTTATCACACAAGCGATATCTACTGTAGAATGTATTATTGGGTGATAAATAAAGTTACGGTACATAAATTGTAGGCATGACGGTTTTCCATTGTTAAGATTTTTAGAGTATTTATAGTGTTGGGTACAATTCAGCGGTATGATCGACATTGAGCATTAGTTTAAAAGCCATGATTTGTCGTCTAGAAAGACATTCAAGAGATTTGGAGGCCCAGGAGTAATCAATGTGTCTGAATATAAGCATTATAAAAAAGAGTTTGGCAGGAGAGGGGGGATATTGTTTAATCTTTCGGAGAAGAAAAAGTTTCTGATTTAATTTTTTAGAGATATATTGAATAATATGGTCTTTCCAAGTTAAATTATGATTTAAAATGACACCTAAAAGTTTAAAGGATGAGACTACTTCTAATGATTCATTGTCGAGTTTTATATCAAGACTAGTGGGGAGAAAGTTTCTTTTTTTGTTTTTGATGGGTGTAAAGAGCATTGCTTGTTTTCAGATATATTGAGTTTCATTCCATTTTTGTTACACCAGGCTTGCATTCTATCAGCATCAAGCTGTAATTTTGTTTAGAGAACTTTAACAGTTAAGCCTGAAGTGTAGACAGTCGTGTCGTCGGCAAAGAGGTCAGTTTTAGAAGAGAGATTTAATGGCAAGTCATCAATGAAAATATGAACAAGAGGGGGCCTAATACTGATCCTTGAGGTACACCGTAATGAGTGGGCTTTAAAGCTGATAGCTCATCATTAACAAAAGTACACTGATTTCTGTTTACTTTTGTTAATAAACACTGTGTATAAATTTCAAGTCAAACGGACAATAACTGTAACTTCTAGAACATCCTCAAGATTTCTGAAAGTGATCAATTTGTTGGATTGGCTATTTGGTCTCATGAACATAAAATTTCATCCAATTTACAGTCAGAAAGGGAGAAAAATAACGTCCACCCAATACAGCTACATCAGGGCTTTTTAGCATTGAAAGAAAACAGGGGGACCCTAGAAAAACCCACGAGTTCAAGCTGGTCAAACTCACTGTCTGCATTTAGGCATGTATCGATACGCCAAGGGCAATAACCCTGCAAATAATTTATGGACCTCATTCATATTCATTCAAACTCATCTGAAATTTCAAGGTCTATAAAAATCCAATGAAAATAGAAGAAGTTACAATATGACTTTCATTTAGTTATTTTTTACATATTAAGGTAAAGTCATGACTATAAATTTGGGGAAAACTGGTGGATCACATTCCTTATACCCCAATATAACTCATTAAAATTGAATGAAAATTTTGACACTATTACTTGTCATTCCTCAAAATAAATCAACAAATCAAATGATATCAACTATTTTATTTTTGACTCAAATCCGTCATTTTAAACTTATTTGCTTTCTTTCAAAACTTTTCATATTTTAATAGTTTTATTTTGACTTATAAAAAAACCAATCTGATTAAAATACAGATCTATATTTCGCCTCGTTATTTTATACTTTCGATGGCCTACACTACATGAAGATCTGACCAGTTGTACTGGAAGGTCACATCAGTGGTTGTACGTGCGGCCTTTGACCCTATGATGTCAGACATTGAGTAATCAATCAGCAATGACATTTCTAGTGGTTTACACACAAGTCAGCTCACCGTAACAGGCCATTTCATTGGCTAATCTCCCACTTCAACCAGAACGCGGGTAATATAACAACTCTTCCAGATCCTAGTGTAGTAAAGACAAGTAAAATGAAATTTTGAACTATAAAAAACGATACGAAATAGGATCTGTGTTTTAATCAGATTGTAAAAAAAAGGAAAAGATTTTCGAGTTTAACGCCAACGGTAATTGAAATCAACAAATGTGATAAATATCTCTTACTAATATAATGTGTACTAGACCAGGAACTAATTTAAATTAACTGAATCACATATCTATTGGCCCCAGGGAACATCAAGAGTGCAATGGAGTTCAAGTGCAGTGTGCAGTTTTTTGTCTGTCAGGTTGCAAAATGTCTAGTGCAGATTTTAACTCTTTAGTCAATCCTAGTCTATTAGCCCGTTCAGGCGCTTAAGTTGAACTGGTTTAAAAACCCCGGGGATCGTTAAATCAGTACAACTTAAGCGCCTGAACGCACATGTGGGGCAAATAAACCAGTTTAAAAACCCCAGCTCGCGACCTGTCTTCGAGAAGGCTTTTTATTTTAAACTGGTTCATCTTAGCCGTCTGAACGGGTTGGCTTAAAAAACCCAGCTCCAGCTTGCTTTGAGCATGCGCAGTACGCAGTAAGTTACATTCCTGTGAAAATATCGGGGTCAGACTGTGCCAATGTTATCTAAAGCATGCGAGAACCGAATAAAGAATATGAAGCTACCCATGCGCAATTAACTCTAACCTCCGACCAAAGAGGTCAGAATAGTTAAACTGGTTTGGCTTATAGTACGTGTGAACACAACACGATGCTGTCTTAAAAACCCCAGCGATTATGAACTGGTTTAAAAATAAGCGTCTAAACGGGCTATAAGTTGAAAATTCTTGTAATATACCAAACACATATACACATTCAAATTTGTTTTACAAAATATTTAATTCAAAGAATCTGAATCTAAATCAATAATAATTAACAAGGAGGCTAGCATAGATCAAATCTACACTGTAAAAAGTTTAAAGAGAGAGAGAGAAATGGAGTTTAACACCCACTCGACACAATTTAGGTCATTTCGGGACTAACATATGGTTCAATTTTATTTCAATAATTCGCTTGCGTGTAGGGGTCTTTATCAGTAGGAGGAAACCAGTGGACATGGAGAAAACCTATGAGGTTGGACAGGCAACCCTACTCCTTGTCACGTGCAACCAAGGAATCGAAACCACACCAGTTGACTCGATGACAGACCTTATGATACAGCTTGCACATGCTAACCATTCGGCCATCCAATCCTCTTAAAAAGTTTAAAGTATAACAAGTACTTATCTGTGTTAAGAAAGTGGATGTTTCCCTTTCCTTATTATATATCTATTGTATATTGTAACACATGGTTTGAAAGGAAATGTGATGGATGATTGTGTTTGTGTCATAAAATGCTTGACTAGGTTGTGTGAAGTATACTATCTATTATACAATTCAAGTGCAGATACATTCTTTTTATCAGAGTCATGACATCAGTGTTATGTCTGAACTGAAGTTTATCTGTATTAACTTGTTACAGATAGCAGACCTTACATCAGCTGCATTTTAAATTGATGTTTTAGGAGCAGTTCTAAATATTTTTCTACCGGGTAAAAGTAGTAACATGGGATGAATGACATTTGTATTCTAGTCATATATTCAACTAGCTGAAGCTCTGTGGTACTTTAGTTTGCATTGCAATCAGTTCTAAAATTCCACACTGTGTATATAGTGCCATGATCATTATCTTTTGTCAGTCGGCATTCCCAGGTATCTGATGTTATTTCCCATTAACATTCAGGATTGTATAATTCTCAAGTATTTTAGGAACACTCTAGAGCAAATCACTAAAAACTCTATGTTAGAATAGTCAATGAAATGTCATTTATTTTCTCTATTAGTTTAGAGTTTGATTGAAGTAACTGAGGAATGGTGTTTCGTAAATGAGTAACATAACTCTGATAAACAAATCTAGCAATTCTTTAACAAAGTCGTAATATTTTGATTGGAAATTTTCAGACAATTTTAAATAGGCTATGTCATCACATTTTTGTGTTTACATATAAGTGTGGAATACCATAATGATTGAGAGTGAGACATTAAGTAATTCATCTTTAAAATAATACAAACACAGCTTTATGGATAACAATCACTAGCAACTTTAATAGTGCAACGTTTCAACAAGAATCCTCTAGTAATTATCAAGCACACGGTAAACGATAATATGATACAAAAAGCTGGGAGTGAGCATTCAAGTATAAAATGTAGAAGAAGCCAAAAAGACAAGCATTCATATTCTGTTTAAACATATAAAAAATGTTCAAACCAGAATATGAATTCTTGTCTTTGTGGCTTCTTCTACATTTATACTTAAATGCTCACTCCCAGCTTTTTGTATCATATTTTCGTTTACCTTGTGCTTGATAATGACAAAAAGATTATTGTTGAAACATTGAACTATTAAAGTTGCTAGTGGTTGTTATCCATAAAGCTGTGTTTGTTTTATTTCAATGTTATTCCAATCACTAAATGTCTTATAAACAATATAAGTAATTTATCGATACATTTTAATAGAAGAGCTCTTTACTTACCTGTAAAGACTCTCTGAATTTTTTTTCTTCTGTCCATTCTGCTTCATATGATTCTTCTACAGCTGAATAAAATGACTTACTGGCTACTGACAGGGCTGAAACAACAATAAACATGTTTTAAATTAAATCAAATCATGAATTAAAATTCAATATAAATATGTGAAATTTAATTGTACCTGTATGTTCTTGAACAACTAAATGTACAATATAAATATGTACAGGAAGCTTATAATTAAATGTATAAAATTACAGATGACTGCAATTTGTTCAGCAAAGATTTGGTCCGCAGCTGAGACATAAAGGGCATTGAGTACTCTATAATTCACATTTTAAAGCTAGCACTGTAAGTTTTGTTCATAAGATATGACATTTTTTTGTTATTTGGCATGATAAATTACATACATGTATTAATCTCCCAAAAAATACTAATTTTATTTACAAATTATGTTCCAAACATGGCCCAAAAGCATGATAATAAAGGGTGCTGATGATAACCAAAGTCGGATTTTCTCAGTTATGCCAGCATGGATTTTCATCAAATTTGGCATGAACAATGCTAAATGCAAGTCCGTGAAAACTATGGTTCACTTTTTGACTATAGACGTGGTTTGTCTGGTATCCATGGAAACATAAACAAATGATAAGTTTTCTTGGAAATTATTACCGTAAGTTCATACTAAAAAGAGATATCGATAATCCCAACTGTCCATCGTAAGCAGAGGTTATAAGCAACATTTTGGCACCAAAAACCTTAAAATATATCAACTCAAAAGTATTTCAAAATCTTTGTTCATTATTCACCTTCAAACAAGATTTTGGATTTTGGGTAAATTCTTTGAATATGTCCACAAGTTTTAAAATACAACAATTCGGGTGTAAAAATTAAATATTTACTTCAGTGCACTACTCCGCAGTGATCGAGAAATTAAACGCTTTTAAATTGGACACTCATTATCAAAATTGAATGGTCAGCTTTAAACTGGACACAAGTACAAATTGGACGAACTTGGGTGATTTTAAATGATTTCTACGAAATTTTAAACAAGACTTTGATATTGAATGTGAAAGAAATTAGTGCTAAATACACAAGATTAAATGATACCCGGATTACAGTGTAAAAACCTACATGTATCAGATGCCATTTTGAGCTAGAAGTTTAGAAGGCCATAACTTCTGCTAATTTGCTTTTTGGTAGGACTACCTGTTATTTTAAAGTGTACATTTAACCTTTTCGAGTGGAATTTTGTGCCTTGAAGAATTAACATAGAAGACATCCAAATCTTCTGACCCTCCCCAACCCTTAACATTTGGAAACTGTGGAGGCACAACTCGCTAACTCCGAAACCAATTTAAGACAGTGTGTTTAAGAGAGAGAGAGAGAGAGAGAGAGAGAGAGAGAGAGAAATGGGGTTTAATGTCCACTCAACACAAACTAGGTCATTTCGGGACTAACATATGGTTTAATTTTATTTCAATAAATCGCTTGCGCGTAGGGGTCTTTAGCAGTGGGAGGAAACCGGAGGACCCGGAGAAAACCCTCGAGGTTGGACAGGCGACCCTGTGTTTAAGAGAGAGAGAGAGAGAAATGGTGTTTAACGTCCACTCGACACAAACTAGATCATTTCGGGACTAACACATGGTTCAGTTTTATTTCAATAATTCGCTAGTGCCTAGGGATCTTTAGCAGTGGGAGGAAACCTGAGGACCCAGAGAAAACCCACAAGGTTGGACAGGCAACCCTACTCCCTTTCTCGTACAACCAAGGAATCGAGAAACCCCCGCCAGTTGACTCAATGACAGACCTTATGATACAGCGCACACATGCTAACCATTCGGCCATCCAACCCCCAAAAGTGTGTTTAAATGTCCGAGATACAAAGAAAGAAGTCCTTAACATATAGCCATCGTCAGAATTCTGTTTACTTTACACTCAGGTTTTCTTTACATGTCATATCTGATGTGCTTTCTAGGATTTTATGTAAAAGACAAATTTAAATCTCTTTATTGTCATTATACATTAAATTAGAACATAAGCCTGGTACTTTATGTCTAGATGCTCAACTTGGTGGCAAGCTGGTGATTAATTTGAATAAAAATATATTTCATAAGCATGAGTTTTAATATTTTTTTTATAACAAGAATGTGCTCAAGACAGGCAGTAATTTTAAACTGATTTATAGTTAAGTTTAAATGAAATGAAGACAAGCTAATGAAAAAGGGCATATGCCATACAGTGTGCTTTGATGAGGGAAATTTTGCCTGGACAGCAGCACTACAGCCTATACTGTTATATCAAATTCCAACTGCCAGGGAATCTTTTACATGCACCCCAATGTATACACGGGACCTCAGTTTTCCGTCCCATCTGAACAACTAGACAGCTGTCCTTGTAGATAAGTTTAAAGTGGCAATATAATTAATAAACACCAACCACGTTTAGACTTTTCATGATGTTAAAACATGCTATGTTACGGCCATCTACAAACTTATCAAATCTTACAAGTGTAGTACTATCAGTTGTTCAATCTTCAAGATTCAATCTTCACGCTGTGTTTTCTTCCGTGATGAAGTTACAACTACAGTTCAGGTTCTTTTCTTAAAATACTTTATTTCTACAAACTGGAAGTGTTACAATTCTTCCTAGTCTCAAATAACTAAATGACTGGTATGGCCGGCGGAGTGAGCTCTGTCGAATGCTATTTCCCCACCCTATTTTATAGGTGCCTATTCCTTTGTTTGAGGTGTTAATCTAAAGACTGATAAGTTCTAAATATGGAAAGGACATGCACCCCAAACTGAACATCGCCAGGGATTGTTACCTTATTTGGTCAACAAATATGATATATGTTTTATAACAAAGAAGAATGTGAATGACCAACATGCTCATTAATCTATAGCTCAGTTAACGTATCAAAATAACAGGCATATACATGTACCTTCCATATTTGTGGTTATGAAGTTAGAATCAATAATATGAAAGATAACGCTATTGTTCCAGCTATCATATTCCTACATTCTTGTCTTTAGACACCATGTCTGGTTATTGTCACAATATTCATAGCCAATTTAATTTGCGTTTCAGAATTTAACTTATACCATAACTAATATATTGACAATGGAGAATAATTAATCAAAATCCTAATATTATTTTACATAGATGTTTCAAAGCACAAATTCTTTCCCTCCATATTGCTACACAAGACTCCACATTTCTTATATACGTTTGAAAACCCGAATTCTAAAATTTGTTTATATCTGGTAAGATACAATCTTTTGGCAATAAACTCCTTTTTCTTGATAGCTTGAAATAATATATCTTTGATTCGATGGTTAAAGATTAGAAATCTCGATTCTCAAGGAAAGATACCCTCAAAAATATGTCTGTGCCCGGGACAAGAGAATCATCATAGTAAAATAGCTCTGAGAAAAATTATGTAATTATCTTGCTTACAACTGTTGCTATTATTTTAATTAGGAGATGCTGTTTTATACATTTATATTTGGCACTAAATGTCTTGTTTAATAATAAATTGTGTTATTTTTTATTTGAATGGAGACAGTAGTATATTATGGCCCACGTAAAAATGTAACTACTATATAACTTTCCGCATGAATGATTAAAGTTGTTAAAAATAAAAGAAGGTGAGAGTGGGATATTTAAAGTGGACAATTGGTATTACAACCCACTGTATTCTTTACACATATAAACATTAAATAAATGTCTTTGGCCATCTTTCAAATTTTTGGTTACTTAGATACGACAATCTTTAATATTGATAGTGACAGCATGATTTCATTCTCAAGCTATGATAAATAAAATTGTTATGTATCTTCAAATAAACTATACCTGCATTGTATATACAATACACATGTTGCTATAATGTCACATATTCTCTCAAATATAGATATCATGTTCTTAGTGACAAGGAAAAGAGAGAAAAGGGTTAGCACGTGCGCGCTGTATCATAAGGACTGTCATTGAGTCAACTGGCATGGTTTCTTTCCCCGGTTGTACGTGCCAAGGAGTGGGGTCACCTGTCCAACCTCGTGGGTTTTCTCTGGGTCCTCCGGTTTCCTCCCACTGCTAAAGACCCCTAATTGCAGGCGAATTATTGAAGTGAAATTGAACCATGTGTTGGTCCCGAGATGACCTGGTTTGTGTCAAGTGGATGTTAAACCCCATTTCTCTCTTTCTCTTTTTAATGCCCACTTAACACAAACTAGGTTACTTAGGATTGGCATACAACATGCTGATAATTAATTCAATAATTTACTTACACAAGTAGGGCTCTCTATTAGCAGTGAGGGGAATCAGACAGAGGAATATGTGAAAACCCATGAGATTAGCCTTGGATTCAACCCACACCATTTGACTCAATGAGGGTTCTCTATTAGCAGTGAGGGGAAACCCATGACATTAGGCAGATGATCCTACCAGCCTTGGATTCAACCCATACCACTTGACTCAAAGAAGGTTCTCTATTAGCAGTAAGGGGAATCCCATGAAATTAGGCAGATGATCCTACCAGCCTTGGATTCAACCCACACCACTTGACTCAATGAGGTTTCTCTATTAGCAGTGAGGTGAAACCCATGAAATTAGGCAGATGATCCTACCAGCCTTGGATTCAACCCACACCACTTGACTCAAAGAAGATTCTCTATTAGCAGTGAGTGGAATTAGACAAAGGACCATGCGGAAACCCTTCAGATTAAGCAGATGATCCTACATGTACCAACCTTGGATTCAACCCACACCACTTGACTCAATGACTAACACTTGAAGCCAGCATTGTTTTCAATATTTGGCTGGAGAGCTCAAAAGAGATCTACTTAATTAAAAAATCTCCCTCCTAAAAAGTTCCCTCGGGGATTTGGTAAATAAGGGCAGTTGTGTCATAATAAAGAGAGTAATTTCTTTTATTCAGGGGTATTAGGGGCAACAAGATTTATATAACTATAAGTAGCATACCGTAGTTGCACATTAAACAGTAAATTTTGACTTCAACAAATAACATATTGGAATTATGGGGATCAATTTTCAGCTGAAAGGTGTTCATAACAAAATCTCTTGAATCCAGATTCAGACACTTGATGGTGCTAGCGCTCAATTGAACACTTTCACCAACAATGTCTGTTGAAGAATCACTTTAATCAACTATCAGTCCTCCTCCCCATTTGCACTGCCGCATTATTAAAAATAAATCATCAGACATCCCAAATTCAATTGTAATGTAGGTATCTGAAGTGAATGAAATTTCTATAATTCAAATAGAAAATGTAAAGAATTTCCCACCTTCTATACAATGTAGATATTTCTTTAATTCTTTCTGTAAATGATGTGCTGATTCTTGTTGTCTGTCTATTTTTAGAACTAATTCATCAAATTGTTCATCTGTTGTGCGATCAGCTTTACCTAAATTCTGTAAAACCTGAAAAAAAAAGAGAGATACTGAATTAAATGATTGTGTTGTAACTTGTAAATCATAGACAAGTATATATCTTTCTCTTTTTACTGTTTTTATTTTTAGGAACTGTTTTTTATTTTGTTATTTTTTTATAATTTTTCTTTTTTATCATAAATTGTATTTTTCTTTGTGATTGTTAAGCGCATCTGAACACTTCGGTGAAAGATGCGCTATATAAATGTATTAAATAATAATAATAATATATCGTAGTTCGAAATGTTGCTGTCCAGGCAAAATTCTCATATTGCTAACCTATTAATCTAATTAACTTTCGGACACAGACATCAATCGGGCCAGTGGAATTCACTGCAGAACAAGATTGGTAGCACTGCAATGAGGTATACTTACCACAGAGAAGTATCAAGAATATAATCATGTTTACATTTTATTTTTGCTTTCTATTCAAGGGAATATAATTCTTTCTACATCAACATGTAGGCCTACATGAACATGTAACTACAGTATTGTTTCAACATTAATAACAAACAATATGGAAAACTGATGATGGACAAATAATTTTACTTGGCAAACGTCCATGGCAATCTATTACATGTATATTGGGATATTAAACTCAACTGTAATTTTATTGACTACATGTACAAGAGGACTATAAAACTTTATTTTATGATCAGTAGTGGAATACCACGTTTTATCAGTGAAATAAGAGTGTTATTCCACTTGCTAAAGTAGTCCATGTTGTTTTTACCTAAAATGTTTGTAAAATCATAAAATAAATAGAACATTTGTCGTTTTGTCGTGAATAACATATTTTATTTCATCTCAAAGCAAAAGTTTTCTTGCTTTGAGATGAAATAAAATATGTTATTCACGAAAAAACGACAAATATCCTCTATGTATTGTTAATATTTAAAATAAACTACAAGTAGAAGCGACACAACAACCGTTGTTACATAATATGTGAGTGTTATTTGCTAATACAAGCAAAACTATTGAGTCACAGCCTACATGTACCTACATATATAACTAAAAATTCTATCACGAATAAAGTAGAAAAAAACTCATTATGAATAAATTCTATCCCGAATAAAATACAATTTATTTGTAAATGTTGTATATTGTAAGTATTGACCACCCAAGCATAACCATCATATACAGAATGAATACAGTAAATAAAGATGAGGATGCCAGAGTAGATAAATTGTGTTCTGGTTGAGTGCACCCCAGGTACGCTCATATTGTATTATGTTATATCAGCTCATCAGATATTTTCCTAGATCCACAAATGTAATAAAACCTCCTCAAACACTTCATTCATGATTTCTGTATTTATGACCTTAAAATGACATACTTTTCTTAGATATTTTTAAAAGAGCCAAATACTCTTAGCCAAGATTGCCCTGTTTTTTCTTATGAAGTTTTTTTTGTTGACATTATGTTCTATTACACATATAGGTTAATAGTCTAAAGTTTTGCAGCTGAAAACCATATTACACAACATCTATAGACACAATATATTACAGTATTTTCACTCACCATATTGCAATATCTAAATATATTGTAATTCCAGTATGTGAAAATGCTGTAACATTTTGCATTTTATCAAAATAATTTGAATTGTTTAGTCTAAAAAATTTTAATATTCATAAATGAAAAAGACAAGTTGCCAGGCAATGAAACATACGCCCATAGCAGGCAGATAAGTCGTCCAAGCAGTCAACAAGGGGTGTCACATATTTTTTCTTTTGTTGGTAACATTTACAACACACTAAAATCTGATTAAGAGTAACAACCCATTAAGTAATTATCAAAAATCATTAGAATTTGTTTGGCTTCTTGTTCTGCCACATTCTAACGTTAAGTATACAAAACATTTAATATCATGAAATTAACTGTTCAAGTTATCAAAAATCGTTGAAAATCAATAGATTCTGTCATATCCGTCGTCTCATGACCTTAAACACTGTGTATAAATTTAAAGTCAATCGGGTGATAATTTTGATCTTGAGAGCATCCACAACAATTTTCGAAGTGATCAAGGGCCATAAGTCTGGCAGTAATTACCGGACATTGTTAAATATACTAATGTCCAAAAGAAAGTATACACTGTGCATTTCGTGCTGCATCAACCAAAGTCGTTTTCCATCGTATACGGCATTTGGGTACAATGTCAATTTGTTTCGCTTTTTTTATTTTGCTTAGAAATGTTGAGTTTTGATGCAAGAGACAAACTCAGTAATGTTTTATCAAATGTTTTTAATTTAAATAAAGCTTAGTCATATTTTTAGTGTGTATAATTTCTTTTGGACATTAGTATAAATGAAAAGGCTTCTTCGTCTAGAGTGTCCACAAGCAGTTGTGGACGACAGACAGACTGATGGACAGGGTGACGACAACATAAAACCACCTGTTCCTATTGAATGGAAGTTTCTCACTTTCAATCTGGGCGTATAAAAAGACAGGTGAAAACAACAATTTTTCATTTATTAAAATATCAACTTTGAGACATAGTATGTCAACCACCATTATGGTGTAATAGTGATATACTCAAACATTTTTTTAAATTGGTTAAAAATTGTGACCTCTAGAGGAACCACTAGCTAGAAACGCGATTTTTCATACAATCAGGGGCCATAATCCAGGAAGTTATGGTTCGTTATGTGTGAATATCGAAGGAAACATACATTTCAAGTTTCCTCAAAATTGGATACAAATTGCGACCCCTTAGAGTGACCAAAAGCTAAAAATGTGATTTTTCGTACAATCAGGGGCCATAATCCACGAAGTTTAGTTATGGATAAAAATTGTGACCTGTAGACAGTCCACAAACATATTGTGGACAGCCGGACATTCAGACGGACAGGGGCGATAATATAGTATACTCTTCAAAAAAAGTAGGGGATATTCAGAAACAATACAAAACTGCGGAAATTCACTGCTGTTTTTATTAGAGGTAACCAGTGTATGTTAATAACAGGCCAATTGCCTACACATGAACATAAACAGTTCATATGGACGGCTTATCTGACGGCCCCATTTCACTCGCAAAGATATATACTGTGAAAATGGACGTTTTTGTCTTAATAATGAGTAATTGCTCCACCAATCCTCAGACATTCAGCAATTCATCGTGGCATGCTCCAAATCAACCATCCAATCACGATTTGGGGCAATCTGACCCACTCCTCTTGCAGTGCCATGTCCGATTCTTGCAGTTTTGTCGGTTGGCGACTAAAGCAAAGATTCGCTAAACAGTAAATCATATGCAAGAACCGATAGGAAATCAAACATGGATAGGATAAACCAGCACGCGGCAGTTTTCATCAACCCTTCCTTAAAGTGTCAAATTTGACAATGAACCCCTCCCACGTGTATGGCGCTATTGCGTGTCGCATGTGCTGCTCAGTGGTTCTGTATAGGTATTTGCATTTCAATATCCCTACTTTTTTTTAAGAGTATCAGTATGTATAAGTGGGCGTATAAAAATATTGTTACAGGCTATTGTGACAATTATAATTTCTCTTAAAATAACAAATTTTTACTGAATTATTTCCCTCTTTGAGTTTTATGACTATGTGTCAAAATAGCCGGAACATGTAGTACATGTGAAACAAGATGATCTATGTACTATAATTAAATAGATAAGTATATTACATTTGAGTGTCAATTTCCTTTGATGTGTCAATTCATAATTAATGTCCTCAATTTTATTTTCTAAGAAATTCTAAATTTGAAAAACCAAATTAACTGTGGATGCGTCACTGGGCACATAATTTATCTTATAAAACTCTTCAGTCCCTTCCATCCTTCCCCATATCATGCAAGTGGTCTACAGTGGAGGGCAATAGCATTTTCACTATGGTGGACCAAATTTCTACGCCACATTCTACAGAAAATTTGCTTAACAGTCCAATTTTTATATGCCCACATTTTCTTGTGGACGTAGATTGTCGTCGCCCCTGTTCGTCCATCTACAATTTGTGTTTTGATAATGTACAGGTCAAAATTTTTATTCAATTTTGACGAAACTTGAAATATAGGTTGATCTCAATATATTGGCATGTATTGGTCAGTAACTTCATGGATTATGACCCTTGATTGTACAATTGGGACTAAAATACGGTTCAATTTTATTTCAATAATTTGCTTGTGCAGGGGTCTCTTAGCAGTGGGAGGAAACCGGAGGACCCAGAAAAAACCCATGAGGTTGATCAAACAACCCTACTCCTTGTCCCGTAAAGTTCGGCCACCCAGATATGAGATCTTCAGCCGAATCGTCCACAATCATTGACATCCATCAAGCATCATCTACATGTAATAATGACACCAATGACATTTTTTAAAACTTCTACTGTCAATGTAAATCACAGATGAGGAAAACAATGACCTTTGTGTATTTACAGGTGTACCAATATTATTTATTACCTATATATAATATATACATATACAACCTGGTTATTTACGGCTGATTAGGCAAGTAAGTGACTGTGACTGATGTCCAGACATGATTGACCGCTGTCCAGATTTAATATGGCCTGAGGACACAGTGTTAGGTAATAACATATACTGTATATTTGTATATATGTGCTACAAACATCTATTTAGATGTATTCATGCGAGAATATTTAGGTTGTCTATCACAACATGTAATTATTTTTATCTGAATATATAAATCATGATATATCATATATGAAAATAACGTAAGGTACCATACATGTTAACAGAACATAATTTTTATGGGAAACAATCAATTTTTTTGGTGGTCTCATCTTTATCAAGCACAATAAAAATTGTGTTCTATTATTGTGTTTCTCAATTTCTAAATACCATTTAAAGATTATCATATATACATGTGTGTCAAAAGGGTTAAATTAAAAATTTAATTTTTTGAAGATTTACCCACTAGATTAGTTAAGTAATATTTTCATTAGTTCGCTTCAGAAACTATTGGTCTGAATTCTGAAGATGTATCCTTATTTCTGAAAGACAATGCATGGGAATACTACCTAGAAGAATTTGTATAAACTCATATTATGTTAAGTAATCCGACACCTTGCAATCATATGAAAAATATGATTGACAGGTCATCAAGTCTGTGAATGAGTACAAAATCACCAATTATCAATCATACAGGTAACATACATTTGGATATATATGGCAATAACTATTTGACAGTGACATATTTAAGGATGAGGCCATTGGAACTTTTTCTCACCTGCCCACTTCTGAGTAATCAAAAATAGGGTACATACCAGGGACGCCCAATAACTGATCACTTAATCAATCAAATAATGTTGTCTTGCATTATCTAACTGAAAAAAAATCTGCTTGAATAGGGATACCCTCTATGTCCCCCATTAATATCAAATTGATTACCGGTAATTACAATGTTTTTTAAAAATTGAATTGGTATTAAAGTGTTGTAGCTGACATCAATAAGTTGATGCGGACACATATCAAAATTTACAACGACAAAGAAATCTATCTGTGAGTTTGTGCCTGGCAATGTCTGAGAAAAAATTACAGTTTGTTCAGAAATGCAATGCACCTTGATCAATAAACTTTTAGTTATTATAAATTACAAGTAAATGTAACCATGGCAGCGGCAATGCCTTCAACTTGGATTAAGTGTTTTGATGCAAAGTTACCATCACAATAATATTGCACTTCTGGCTTATAGTACACTTCAAAATTGCATTCATTTATTGACAAGATGCAGGCCTTATAGATATAATCAATTAGCCAACAGCAATATGAGAAAAAAATATATGACCCATATTTTAAAAATCGGGTAATCTGGAGATTTATTTACACTACATAGGTATTACTGTTGTAAATTTACTGTGATTAGGATCAGTTATAAGGATTGTTTTTATTCGGCTGTAACTAATCCCACTAGATCTTTAAACACGTGAGGAATGTCAACACTGACACGCCCACTTTTATTTTCAAGGGCAGATAATCACACCACGACTCAAAAAACAATGTTAATTATTTCTCTTTGGTTACTTTTTACACTTGTAATTAAGCAATATCAATAATTAATTCTATGACCCCAAAAAACTGTTATTCAAGCAGTCTGTTTGGGTTTTTTTACGAGTGCAAAATAGATGTACTATTTTGGTTTGAATGACCGAGTTTTTTCGATTGACGATTACTGTCACTCGCAGCACCTCGGTTTTATCTGATTATTCTCTCCCGATTCCTGACACCTGCGGATTAAAGTTTTTTATTTGCACAACTGACAACGCCATAAGTTAAGTTACACTTCCGGTGATAACTGCAATGTTCGGCTGATACTGCACTTGTAAAAATATATGTCACTTACCTTGGTTTTTGTTCGTGAAAGTTGTTTTTGTGCACGGACGAATATTCCACTCGACTTGTTACTTGCTTCGGCCATGTTGGCTACTGACATCTATTTGTAAAACAGCGATCGGTGATTGGTTGGTTGTATTGCCTATTGTTGTCGTAGAGGATTCATCATTCACCCATCTTCGTTATCCAGTTTATGACGGTGATAACATTTCAAATCGATAATAGGACTACAAAATAACTGTTTTAAAATAAGAAAAGAACGAGACTTAATTAAACAGACCCTAACCTAATCCATATTCCGGCTAATAGTAATAGGGCCTAATAATCTTTTGAAAATATCACAAATGTACGGGAATATAAATTTTTCCAGTAAATTGTTAACTAGTAGGCCTACCTCTAATGACAATTACCAATTTATAAAAACAAATGAAATGTTATTGTTTCAGTAACAATTTACAATATTTTCACATAAAAGCACTTGTCATTTTTATCAATATGTGTACAACACATTAGGCCTACAACCTACCGTTTATAATATCATAGGCATGTTCTGCCCCGTCTGTCACCCCGCATCAAACCGTAAATTGTTTTGCAATATGAACCATGCCGTTCTTGTGAGCATCTTTTTCTGTTCAGCCCCAATCTGTCACGCCACATTCCTTTATTCGAATAAGTTACAGAGCCTCTGGGGACACCTTTCATCTCTGAATTTTTACTTTCTTTTGTCCAATACGATTCTGTCTGGACATGTATGATCTCGTGTTAAGCTGGTCAGAATGAACAAATTACAGATCCTGGTTTTATTATTGGTACTCAATATCAGCCATGCAGTGTCTCACATCAGTCGTTAAATGAACTTAAAAATTTCATGAATGACTGTCACATGGACAAATGAACACTAAGACCATGGAATAATTAAAAAATTCACATTTGACTGTCGCCGTCTATGAATATTTGATCTTGTAAAGAAACGGTTGCTTAATGAATTGTGAAATGACATATTTATAATGGAATAATTTTGTGAATGAGTCCCAAACGAAAAGAAAATGTTTTTTTTATGAATATGCAATGTATAATTACTAAAAAAGATTTGTTTTTATTTGTTAAGTTCAGATTTTCTTTATGCAATGACAATTCTATACAATAATTGTACATTACTAGAAGACAATACTGGATGACAGTACTGGTATAATACTTTATAAAGACCATACTGGAATACGCTCAATTGATCCCATCTGGATAGAGGACAATGCCTGTTCCACAGCTCCTATTCAGCCTACCAATCTGGATAAAAATATTGCTTATAAAAACAATTGACCCCATGGCGATGATGAAATGTCTATTTAATTTCACACAGGCGCCAACGTTTAGTCTAATTGTGCTAGGAATAAAACAAAAAATTTATGGTATTGAAGGCACTTATGACTAGGTAACTCTTAGCAAAAGCACAAACTTTGATACAAATTACTCAGATCGAACAGTTCTAACGTTATTATGCTTGGTCATTTGAAATTTATATTGACATCAGATAAGAGAGATGACTGGTCATCATTGGCATTTTTCAGATATCTAATCTTCCCACGGCTTAATCCACGCTAAACTGTCAAATTGATTAAATAACATTTAATTTAGAAAACAAAATCAACTTTAGATCATCCCTCGACTTGGATTTAATCGGATTAAACAGAGCCCCATCTAAATATTTTAGTGAAGACTATAAGTGTCGCTGACATGTTTCGAACATATCCCGTTTATATCATCTTTGGCGTATTTTTATTTCCTTTTAGAGATTGCAATATGGATTGAAACATTACTCAAATAACAACCAAAAACTTTGATTTCACGTAATGATTTGAAATATAATTCATTTGCATATACTGCTCACATGTACGTCAAGACATTCGGTGATGATATGGACTTTATAATATTATAAGGTCCATGCTGACGTATATACAAGACTTATTCCGAAAATCTGTGAATTGTGAACCATTACTCTTGCCTATGCAGTTACACGTTAAGAGAGGGATGGGACTGCATCTAATTAAAGGAGGCAAGTCTCTAACTCAGTATCACCCACAGTCTTCGAAATTGCAAATACGACTTATTGGTCAATTTAAATCAACATTTCGTCGAACATAACAGATTAGAAATTACAGTAAAAACAGAGACGATTGAATGTAAATCAGTTTATATACATTGATAATACATTATGCGTCACGGCCCATTTGTGTCCATTTCTATGTTCAAAGGATGAGATAGGGATTTAGCTCATTTAAAGACTGAAATTAAAATTAAGTTCTTTGAAATTTGAAACTCTCGCTGTTAACATTATCATATTTTACATGTTATATTTAAATCTAAAACAGGAATTATAATTTAATTGAGTCTTGAGACATACCATCAAGGCGTTAGCCCCGGATATCACCAAAATTCTCCACGTCACTGTGCATATATAAACCGGGTGAACTATTCGGTGACTTCCTCGCAAAACATCCAACAGGACAAATTTTCTATGGTGGTTAGTACAGGGAAGGAATTTAGATAGTCAATTATTCGAACTTTTCGGTAACTTCCTCGCAAAACATCCAACAGGACAAATTTTCTATGGTGGTTAGTACAGGGAAGGAATTTAGATAGTCAATTCGTAACTGCCAGTACGCAGGGGCGGGTCCAGGAAGTTTTGCAGGAAGGGGTTTGCCAGGTTCCTGAGACAATGAGTCTTTTGTATATACTAATATTTGACTTTTAAACAGCTGTGATTGGGTACTGTCCAGATTCTGTAGAAATTGTGCCCCTGGTTGAATTTTTATAACTGATAGAAGACTATCTGATGATAGAGTATAAAGCACACGGCCGTGACACTTTTCTCATAAAAATTGTTGTTTTACAATTTATTTTATGTAGCTGAGCAGGGTTTATGTAGCTGAATACAGGGTTTATGTGGTTCCTGAAGGGTTTAGAATACCTTCTAGCTTAACCCCCTAATGCGCTGTGATCTGATTGAGATTTTGTACGTGCAATCTTTGTAAGACTACCTAGCGATATATTATTGTCTATACAGTCTATCTCTCGGCGAATGCAGGGGGTCCGTATAAACGCCAGTTTTTGAGTCGTCAATTGACCGAGACTGCTGCTTACTATAACGAGAAGTTGGCAGGACGAACTTGTTTACATTTCCAAAATATAAGAGTAGAAATATTGACAATAAAGATAGAAAGCTGTTAATTAATATTATGAAAAACCGGAGTCAATCAGAATAACCAAGGTATATTTTGTAGGACTAAAGTGTGCGCTTTCGATCATGAGCAGGGGTGCACAAACATATTTAAGCCATAAAAACATCGGCCCACTCAGCACTATAAGAAAGTCAATTTTTACCTCCAGTTAGGTCGAAAAGTAGTAGTAAGTATAGAATTATGTAATTTTTAATTTATTTACTCCAGCTTAAAAGCTGAATATTGATTTGCAGGCCTCACTTTGGTTTGATCGAATGTGTACGGGACTCTGGCAAAGCGTTCCATTCTCTCTCGAAACAAACCGGCCCACTCTGCAAAATAATTGATGCCCCACCCCTCTCCCTCTCTCTGTGGATGCTCTCTCGCTCTCTCTCTCCCTCTCTCTCTCTCTCTCTGGGTGTATAAACGCTATTTACGACGATGTGGATACGTTAAATCCAAGGGCATTCATATCATTGTTTCATGTGACTTATCTATATACAGACGACGGTCAACGTAAAATTATTCACATTGATAAAATACCTTGGCTTCTATTTACTGTATAATGTATGAAGTTACACAGACTATGTACATCTAGTATATATTTAATCAAAATGACAATGTTGTTATTATTCAATAAAGTACACTCAGGTTTGTACATAAAATATAGCAGAATTAAGAAACATAATTTGTAAGTGATATAAATCAATAGAAACCAATGTAAACTGTTCAGTGAAATCACTTAAAGTCATTGATTCCGGCGGTTGTGTATTTTTCCGACAATATCTAATTTTCAATTCGTTAAAATCACGGCCACGCTATGATCCAAAGCGTTGATTATGGGCTTGGCATGGGAATAATATCTAATTAATAGTTTGTTTAAAATTTGAGCCCAAAAGATAAATGAAATAAAATGGGGTTTAACGTCCTACTGTTCCGCTCCGAACTGGGCTAATGTAGACGGGCATACGCCATACAGTGTTCTATGAGGGAAATTATGCCCAGGCAGCGGCACTATAGCTACCCTTATATCGAATTCCAACTGCCAAGGGATATTTTACGTGTATGCCAATGTATACAAGGGACCTCGGTTTATCGTCCAATACGAATGACTAGACAGCTGTTCTTGCCAGGCCCTCCGTCCTGCACCACTGAGAAGGGGAAAACACGTCGGAAAATCCCGATGAACTTTCTCGGCCAAGGCAGGGGTCGAACACGTGACCCCCAGAATAGCGAGCCAGCGTTACCCACTAAGCCACCTTGCCCCCCCCCCCCTAAAAAAAACCCAACCCAACCAACCTTTACATAATGCCTCTTTAAAGCAAGACACGTTATTGAGAGAAAACACGTGCATTATACATAAATATTGTATGCACCGGAGAGTAAATTTCTAAATTAAAATGTATTTAACATTTAGTAGGACCACCAGGCTGATTAATGACGTGTTCATCACCACTTTAATGAGGCCAATTACAGTTATATTTATATGAAACATAAAAGCTGATTATTACGTTAACGCAACAGGCTAAATGTTATAACAGATGAAATGATTTATTACACTGTCGGGATAATGTTTCAAACTAATGATTGTGACAATAAAGTGTCATTCATTTAGTTACTGTTATTCAGATGTTTGATGGAGTTAAAGTGCGCATGGCTCTTTAAAACCTTAAAATATACGAAAAATAGGTTAATGTGATGTGAATGCATATAAAATGATTTATATTAAATTTTTAAAAAGAATTAAGACGAATAGCAGGTCGTAGATAGGAGCCCTAAGCTTTCAGTGATGCAGAACGAGCGGTCTGACAAGGAATTAACAGTGTCTAATTGCGCGAATGGGGCGACAAACCGAGGTCATGAGTAAATTCTGTTTCTCTTCCCCACCCTAAAATACCTTAAATAACATAACTTTAATATGC